GTGATGATATTAGTTTATGAGGGGGAGACCTTCATCGAGCAGCGGATAGATGACGGATGAAAATAATGGAGTTAATTTTAATAACCTTTTCTCAAGAGGCTGATCTCTAAGTGGCCTTCAGTAAAAAAAGTGACCATTTAGATATGAATACAACCAGTCAGGGACGGAGCCAGGATTTTCAGCCCGGGGTGACATTCAACAAATGTTCATTTCAAGAATGATTAGAGAGTCAGGCTGTTGAACTAGACGCCATCGGTTGGCGACACACTCTGACAATGCAGTTGCACGGAGCCCGCCAGACCGAGTGTCGTACACTTATACGCAGAATGTTTCAGATTTTCGATTTTTTATTTTTTTGTCGGGGGTGACAATTGTCTACCCCGTCACCCCCCCTGGCTCCGCCCCTGCTACCAGTCGTTTCCTCTAGGTTAAGAAAAGCATACGGGCGTTAATGATTGTAAATTATAACCCGTACGTGTATACACAATAAACCCACTTTGGCCTCATAAGCAATTCTCGTATTTCCATGTGGACACTTCGTATTGCGTCGCATTCGTTGCGCTTTAAACGGACAGTAGAGCTTGCGTTAACGTCTACGATTTTAAGAGAGGTTTTTTTGGGTTAAATCGCGTGATTATATAAATGTTGTGTCGTTAAAACCCGCCGCCACCCGACACAGCCATACTAGTAAGGGTTGTCACGTAAACAGAACGTGGCCAATTCGTCACTAGTACAGCACACCGGTGTGTTGGAGAGCCAAGCCACAACATTTACAATCTGAGTACGACGTTTCGCCAGTAATTACAACTAGCTTCATCAGGCGACAGCCAATCTGGCTGTTATGGCTTGGCTCTCCAAAACACCGGTGTGCTGTACTTGTGACGACCTGGTATGTTCTGTTCACGTGACAACCTTTACAAGTTGGCTGTGTCGGGTGGTGGCGGGTTTTAACGACACATTTATATATTTACGCGATCTAACCCAAAAAAACACTCTTGTGGATGACATTGGTCGCGAAAGCCTCCTGCTACAAGGCGTTAAAATGCGTACGATTTTGTGTTAAACCGCTTCCAGGCACAGCAAATAGATCTCTAGCGCCACCTGGCGTAGAAGGCAGAGCTCCCTGGCATGCAAAACCTCGCCCCGCTCACCTGTCCTCGCCTCATCAGTCTTGCTTCTTACACCTCGCCTGTCTCACCTGTGCGTGCGTACCATGTCACCCATCACGCTACTACACGTGGACCCTACGGATGAGTGGTTAGCGCCCATGCCTGGCCACCTTTATCTCCCTGGAATACCGAATACCCAGGTATTCCAGCTCGCGTCTGAAAAATAAGCTGGTAGCTCCAGTGGGCTTTACCTGGTGAGATAAACAAACAAGCAAAGTTATGATTTTCTTAACGTTCCTACGCTTTGCACTCGTCATGCTTTTCCATTGTTTGTTGTTGTTACGTTCTGACCTGCCCCTTAGGGGCCGTCCATAAATGACGTCACGCGATTTTGGACGATTTTTTGGCCCCCCCCCCCCTTCGTCACACGGCGTCACAAAAAGTCAGGCCCCCCCCCCCCTCAAATATGACGTCACAAAGCTCTGCCCGCCCCCCCCACCCCCAAATAAAACATGCTTCAAATCGCTTTAAACTATTGTCATTGTAGTGCTTATTTAATGTGGCGCTGCACTCTGATGTTGTAGGAGAAAACATTGATTAAAATGTTTATTTAATTAAGTAGAATGTGTTGTCTATATTTATTTAAAGTTGCGCATTTTGACGTGACGTCACATTTCTCACCCCCCCCCTCGTCACAGATCGTCACAAATGTCTGAACCTCCCCCCCCCCCTAGGTGCGTGACGTCATTTATGAACGCAAGGGTGGACGGAGGTGGGGGGTGGGAGGGGGGTGGACAGAGGGTGGGGGGCGAGTGAACGGAGGTGGGGGGACGAAGGTGGGGGGGGGACGGAGGTGGGGGTGGAGTGGACGGAGGTGGGGGGGACAGAGGTGGGGGGGACAGAGGTGGGTGGGGGGGACAGAGGTGGGGGGGACAGAGGTGGGTGGGAGGGAGTGAACGGAGGTGGGGGGGACAGAGGTGGGGGGGAGGGACAGAGGTGGGGGGGAGGGAGTGAACGGAGGTGGGGGGGACAGAGGTGGCGGAGTCACGCCGCAGGAAGTGTCGTCATGTCATCATCGTGGTCATCCTCTCGTGGCGATGAAGAGGTGATCCCAGAGGGGGTGTGATAGACAAGGGCCCCACACACACACACGTGTGTACACACACGTGTGTGTGTGTACGTGTACACACTGGCGGAGTTGCCGTGTCGCCCTGTAGCTGTCGGACCACGTTGTGTGTCCCTTTGTGCACGCGTGTGGGTTAGCGCGCGTCTTTGACTTGGTACGGGTTGGCGTCGTCTGGAAAGTGTTCGCCCGCGTTGGGATTGTCACCCTAACTAACCTCAGTGTTTCTTTGTTTGTTTCAGGCATTGTTTTAGTTTTAGTTTTTAGTTTCCCCCCCCGCCGCGCAGTGTACAGTTGAGCGGAAGTGAATGCAGTGACCACAGGTACCGTGCCGTGCTCCTCACGGCGTGGTGCAGTCAACGCGACCTCGCTCAAGAGGACTCGGGGTGACTTAACTACCTCTAATACAGGGGTCGTACATAAATGACGTCACGCACCTAGGGGGGGTGGGGGTCAGACATTTGTGACGATGTGTGACGAGAGGGTGGGGGGGTGAGAAATGTGACGTCACATCAAAATGCGCAACTTTAAATAAATATAGACAACACGTTCTACTTAATTAAATAGACTTTTTTTAAATAAATGTTTTCTCCTGCAACATCAGAGTGCAGCGCCACATTAAATACGCACTACAATGACAATAGTTTAAAACGATTTGAAGCATGTTTTATTTTGGGGGGGGGGCAGAGCTTTGTGACGTCATATTTGAGGGGGGGTCTCACTTTTTGTGACGCCGTGTGACGAGGGGGGGGGGTCAAAAACCGTCCAAAATCGCGTGACGTCATTTATGGACGGCCCCTAACTTAGACTAATTATTGTCACTGGTGGCCCAGCCTCCAGTTACGTAACGAGTGTGGGGGCAGGGGGGGGGGGGTGCCTTGACCACCCCCTAGTGGCCAAAGCTACGAGTTGGACCCCCCCCCCCTTGTCAACGACCACGAGATGTGTCTTCAGCGACAGTGTAAAATAATAAACACAATAGGCAGGAAGGACAAGATCAAAGGGCTCGCATAATGCACGTTGCATAACGTGCGTTGACTCAGCATCCGCCCCCCACTTTGTGCAAGAGCGCAGAAGCGTGGTCACCACATCTACGCCTCCATATAAGGAACGGAACACCTGGTCTTCTCCACAAATCTGGCTGTCGCCTGATGAAGCCAGTTGTAATTATTGGCGAAACGTCGTACTCAGATTGTAAATGTTGTGGCTCGGCTCTCCAACACACCGGCGTGCTGTACTAGTGACGAATTGTCCACTTTCTGTTTACGTGACAACCCTTACGAGTTGGCTGTGTCGTGTGGTGGCGGGTTTTAACGACACATTTATACATTTACGCGATCTAAACCAAAAAAACTCTTATGCTACGTGTTGAACTAAGTGTAAAATAACAACAACACTTATTTAAAACCCGGTTTATTATGGGATTTTTTTACTAAAATGAAATGCTTTATTTTACATTCCACATATTAATTTCATTTATCTTAAATCAAATATTGGGGGCCCCCTGAGCTGATAATGTAGTCCACTACGACAACTACCATCTCCCCTGCGTCGCCTCTTCAGTCAGTGTTACTCATAATAACCCTGGGCTCGCTTGCGAAAACGTGAATCTTGCTCGGTCCTGAAGTTGTGTCCCTTGCCGGAAACGTCAGTCTAAATATATGTTTCTGTTATGGGACACTTGAGAGTGACGAATGAGTGCGTGTTTTCTCATTACTGCTTACCCGTAGGATTAGACTTGTCACTCTTTGAAAGATGCCGTCTCGCTGGGTTTCTCATCTGGTTAGTAACAGATGCCTATCCACTCTTACACATATATAGGAATTGAATTACCCTTCCCTTATGTGGCTTATCCATTAGGCATTCATGAACTGGTGTGAACGCGGGTCCCTTGTGGGTTTGTGAATATGGGATGTGATTATATCAATCATTTGCTCAAACGTTGTAAAACAAAGCAAACTACTGAGCCGATGCAGCTGCCTGTGATTTTACCAGGTTCTTCTGTGTAATTCGTTGATGGTCTCAGCCTAATCACCATTGACTGTACGAAAGAAAGCATACTTCTTAATTTGGCTCTACACCAAATTTGGCTAAATTTAGCTCCCAGAATGACTAAACTCTTATGCGCAGAACGTTGAGTGGGACATTGCTTTCCCTATAGTTTGTGGATTTAAGGGTCACTTGAAGGGTATAAAAAAGTATTTATTTGATTTCCGCTGGCACGAACATTTATCGTATTACTCATGATGCACTGCTTTGCAAGATATGAGAATAGGTTTTCCCCTTTTTTCTGGCAACAAAACAGGTGTTAAGATGTTAAAACACCAAACTGAAACCTTTTACAAGGAATCATGTCTGCATTAACCACAATACTTGTGGTCAGAATGCAAACAAAAAAATGCTCCGATAATATATGCATTGTCCTTGAAACTGATTGGTCCACACCAGAGACGGCTTTCTTTCGAGCCTCGTCTCAAACGGTGTTAGACCAGAGGACGCCAAAAGGCGTACAGCACAAAGACAAGCAGAAAAAAGGGGAAAACCTATTCTCTCATTACTCTGATAGTGGCATTGCCTCTGTGCTGTACGCCTTTTGGCATCCTCTGGTCTAACACCGTTTGAGACGAGGCTCAAAAGAAAGCTGTCTCTGGTGTGGACCAATCAGTTTCAAGGACAATGCATATATTATCGGAGTACGTTTTTTGATTGCATTCTGACCACAAGTATTGTGGTTTTTGCAGACGTGATTCCTTGTAAAAGGTTTCAGTTTGGTGTTTTAACATATTAACACCTGTTTTGTTGCCAGAAAAAAGGGGAAAACCTATTCTCATATTTTGGTACTGGCAAAGGTGATCCCATGATGCTTTGCAAGAGTTCTGCATTTAATATTTGGCTCATGACATGGAACTGATGAGGCACAATGAAGATAAAATTGAGAAAAAGCAGTATTAAAAAAACTGTCTTATACTTCTGCAGTTTTAATGTTGGAATTGGAAATGAAATACCATAGAGTAAAGGCTGAGCCAGTTGAAACACTTATTTACCACAGCCAATGATGGAAATTCCGTATTACCATGTTATATCACGATTTTTCAATTCCATTAATGACAATTATCTTCCATCATGGGGTCAGTGAAACTCGCAACACTGATTGTCAAATTGAATGACTGGTCTGAACCATAGGAATGTCTACCACTGGCTTATGGGGATGAGTCCTACGCATTGCTTATTGGTGCTAAGAGCCACACCGACTTTTGTTTTTTGCAATACCGTGCAGTCACGAAAGCTTCAAATCTAGAATTAATATTACCAACTACTGATTCATGGAAAGATTTTTGTAATTCTGCTTATGACTCAAGAAGCAAAGGTAGTATTCGGATCAGCAATTCACCAAAATATGCATAATCTTCAACAACAACAACAACGAAACACCCTTTACAAAATGCAGCTTTCTTTTTCACACAGTGTGATCGGATCTGGAGAGCGGCGAAAAAAAACATGTTTAATGGAGAGAAGTAAAAGCTCGGTCACCACCATCATCACACTTCCTTCGGTGAGTCCCGACGCACGAGATATCACGCGAATACCAGCAGGAAGAGTGCACAACAGTGCATGTTCAGACAAGGTGAAGAGAGAGCGCGTGGATTGCAGGCCATTCATCCTCCACCGCGGCAAACCGACTACAATTGTGGATGCGGCCGCGAAAACGAGACGGTGCCAAAGCTCGCGAAATTACATAAATGTCACCTGCGTGTGATGTCCTTGTTTTTGTGTTTTTTATTATTCTTGCATCGGAACAGCGTGGGCTTTGAGCCCCGCGCCGTGCCTTGAGATGGGCACGGGCTCGTCGCTGACGCCGGGCGGCGCGGAGCTAGCCCCGCCGGGCCTGGCCGGCCGCGGCTGCACCGAGATCCCCATCGAGATGACGCCGCGGCGAGCGCTGGTGCCCAACGCGCGGCTCCGCTCGGTGGGGTCGGCGCGCCGCTTCAAGGGGGCCTCCTTCCGCTCGGTGACCTCCGTCGTGGACCTGGAGCTGGCGCCCGAGCTGGAGCGCCTGCGCAAGGAGTACGAGATCTTCCGCGTGACGAAGAGCAACGAGGTGGCCGACATGAAGCGCAAGGAGGAGAAGCTCGACTCGGAGAACAAGCGCCTGCGTGCGGAGCTGCAGGTGAACGGTCTCACTGGACTCGCCTTTTGGTCACCTCATCGTCCCACCACGTCTTCACGTCATCTTGTCATTGTGACGCCTTTCCCTCATGTCGCCATCCCATTATCGCATCAAGTCATAATCTCAATCGTGCCATCATGCCATCGTATAAATATATCTAATTATATTATTACAGTATCGTTCGCCCATCGTGTCATTGTCTTGTCATGTCATCATCATACAATGTCATGTCATCATCTCAGAAAATAATCATCTCATAATTCTATAATTGTTTAATTGCAATGTCTCACATTTTTTCTATCTTGCCATCTCATGAACTGATAACATGTCACATCATCTCTTTTTCTGATCAACTCAACGTTTAATGATAAGATCTCTGAATTCAATATTAAATTTCACCTTGATATTTTTTGTACAGCATACCTGTCTGCCTGTCTTTGAAACTGCGTACCTGCCACATAGCTATCAGCATTTATACCTGCCTAGTTTACCTAACTGCTTACCTTCCTAGCTAACTACCTGCCTGACTACCTTTGTAAGTGTAATTTGTATTCGATCAGGACCTCGATATGAGACGAGTTACATGGGCTATCGATCAAACACGGCATTATTTACAAGGATACCTACTCGTCAGCAATACTCTACACCAACCCGCTCCATCTTATCTCTCTAATCAGTGTCTACCAGCCTCAATGGACACCAATCGATGCTGTATACGATCTGCAGGCCATGGTTATCTACTACGCCTATGCGTAAACCTTGTGCAGCGAGAGGACCAGTGCAGTTTCGGGGGTCTCCGGCCCGAAGACCCAGAACCAATTACCGGAAGATGTTCGGGATCAATCCATGAGTCTGAGTCAGATTTGCAATATACTAAAAACAGTGTTATTCCATAGAGCTTACTATGTGTGCGCATTCGTGATGGACTGGATTCATGAGAATGCGCAAGTGTTCACTTACTTACTTGTCCACCCACATGTGCACCTACCTGCCTGCCTGCCTCCTGCCTGTCTGTGCAGGCGCTGCAGAAGAGCTGTCAGAAGCTTCGCGTGGAGAAGGAGGCGGCTCTTGAGGGCCGAGACCAGGCCATGGAACGAGCGGCCTCATTTCAGCAAGACCGGGACAAGGTTCAACGCCAGTTCAAGGTGATGTCATTGTCTGCGTGTGACTCTCGCCCCAATCTCACTGTCCCTTTGTTAATTAACCTTTCATTATGAGCGGTGACAAGGGGTGGAGAAGTTGTAGAAAATAAGTCATGCATATGTTATTTTGTCTCTTGAAGTGTTGTTATTTTCCCTCGATTATTTATGGAATGGAGTAATAATTCATGCTGAGAGGAACTCCATTCTCTAAGCGTCTGTTTGTTGTCATCTTATTATTTCATCGGCAGTAATTCTTGCTTTGGGAACAATTTTGCTCAGCCACTTTCATGTTTATACAAATCCAAGTTTAATTATTGTTTCTATTATCTGTTGAGATCTAGATACAAGGTGGAATCGTTTGTGCAAATTTCAGTATTTGAATCATATTCATAAGTTCCCAGATAATGCCTTATTATTGATATTATTTCAAATAGGCCTGTATATCCTGAAACCATTTCACCTATTCTTGACCTCAATAACCAGAACACTTTGTACAATAGTCATGAGGAGGCATTTCTATTTTTGCACGGCAGATGGCTTTTATTTGATATTGATGTCTGTGCAGAGAATAGTGGGAATAAATGGACATTATTGACTGAAGTGTCAGATTGTGTCAATGCCCAGGATGGGTTAGTCTCACTGTGCTTGTCATGGCATGTGTTGGAATTCAGCATCTTGACCCAAAGGTGGCCCGAGATCAGCCCTGTGCTGCTTTGCAGGCATGGAATGATTTACTCCAATCAGAGGGAGAGGAAGTGTCATAATTTGGAATGGAGATTTTATTTAAAAAACAATCCCACTTCTTCACTCGTTTGCATAGTTTCGTATGTGTGCCTTTTCGTTTGCCTAATTCGGCTCAATGTAACTTTTAACATATAACGTGCATTTTTTTGTAAATAATGATAAAATTATTTAATGCATTTACCGTGGGCATAACCGTCAATTTTAATTAATTAACAATCAGGCTTAGTACAGTTGCAGATGAAAAGAGCAATAAGAGTAGTATAATATGTAAATTTACCAATCGTGCAAACATTTCTGAATTTCCCATGACGGTGGCACACAATGACACCCATTCTCAAATCGCACTGCAGCGTTTATTACATCAATAAAATGTCCCTAATGGAATTCCACCTCGGTAAAATATCATGGCTCATTTACGAGAGGGCCCACATTGGATTGGATCACTGCGACTACGGGGTACGTAGGCTGACGGGCGCCATTGCCGTTGCAGATATTCCGCGAGGCCAAGGAGAAGGAGGTTCAGGATCTGCTGAGGGCCAAGCGGGACCTGGAGGGGCGGCTCCAGCGTCTGCAGGCCTCCACTGGGGTTGGCGGCGCCGGCTCCGCCGCACCGGCCTGCGAGGGTGGTGACTCGGACGGGGACGAGACTCGCACGGAGGTGGCCGGTGAGATTCATTATGGAGAGATCGATACGCGTGTGGCTTTTTTTTGTCTTTGCTGCGGGTTTATCCCGGTCGTATACCAGTGGCGCCATCGGCATCGTGCCATGAGACGTACTTCCCATTGGGAACTCTCGCAGAGCGTTGCAGCGCCCAATATTAGAGAACAGCCCGGAGTTAGAAATATCAAAGCTACTTATGAGATCCTTGCAAGAAATTGATGCTGAACCTTCCCACCCTAACGATACCGAACTCTCTATCTCTCTAATAACAAATGTTTTGTTTGTGGGATTTAATAAAAAAAATTTAAGAACCTAAATATGGCCAAATTAAGCAAGCAACCAAATGCAATAGATATGTAGATGTTGTGCATTGCAATGGCCATCGACTCACTACACCTAAGAATCTCGTTGAATCTAGATTGAAAAGTAATTTCATCAGAACTACTTTATTTGTTTAGTTTGTTGTCCTTCCCCTGCACCATTACAACAGTTGGCTATGCACGGTGGGAACAAGGTTCAAAATACATAAATACATAATCACGGGCAATGAAACCTGGAATCGAACTCAAGGTCTCAGCGGTGCCATCTCGGTCTTTCCTCCCCTCGGCCACCTGGTCACCTGTTTTTATTTAGAGGTTCTACATTGAGCATTGAGTGCATTTTCATGACTATATAACCATGTCCTTTGCAGTGTTCAATGCGTGTGGATATGTTTGTTTTTAGGCACGTGATTTGGAAGTGTTTCTAGAATGTGCTGCTACTTCGAGGTTATTTGTTTATTTACTGCATATAAAAATGACGTGCTAGAATAAATAGAATGGCCTTTAGTATGTTTCTTGTCTCTATATCACGAATGTACATTGTCTTTCACATTCCCATAATTTACCCGTGATGACAACTTCAAAATGCTTCTAATCTGAGTTCACTTTGACAGCTGCCTACCATTGAAATCACTTTTGTATCGGTCTGATAACACACATTCATTTATAAATAATTATTTTAACATATATATTAAGTATATGACATGCTGAATCATCCTGTAGAGGGATATGTTGCCTATATTTTGAAGTCAACAATGTAATTACTGAAATGTTTATTCAAAAAGTCATCTTTAAGAGACAATGCAAATTTGGAATGTTTAAAATTATTAAATACATTGATAGAATGTCTGCTAATCTGCAATAAAATCATTGTTTATCTGTGACAGTAGCAGCGCAAAACTGGATGCCCAGGCTCCACATCCTGAGGGAAAAATGATTTTGAGTAAATAAATAACTGATAACGTCATAATCGGAGTCAGAATCTAATGAACCCCTTACCTACCTGATCCTAAGGCAAGTTGTATTTTTCTTCTTGGTTCTTTCGGTAAAGTCACGTAGAATGGAAATAATAAAATAATAAAAATAAAATATATATTTTTTATTTTATTATGTTTTATTTTTATTATTTAATTTTTCCCTTCTACGTGATTTTACCGAAATAACGAAGAAGATGAATCCCTGCAGTCACGAAAGCTTTAAATCGAAATTTAAGTTGTATTTTGCCATTGCATTTTCTGAGCTTGTATTGTGGGCCAGGGAAATGTATAATCTTGAACTCATTGTGGGCCAGGGAAATGTATAATCTTGAACTCATTGTTGATAAACACGTTGAATATGATTGTTACCTTGATTTCTTAATCTGTACGGAACCAAATTTCGAAAATGTCATTCCCATGAATTAGGTTTTAGATATGCTATGCTTGCTACACATACAGTATATACATAGCGTACGTTGACGTGGTGCACAACATTAAAAGGCAGGGGGAAAACGTGGCACACTATAAACTAGTTGATAAGTTTATGAACTTAAATTCATGTTACATTGGTCACAGCCCAGTCACCAATGGTGGGACACAAAATCCCATCCTTAATGTTTATTTGTATTAGTGTAGGTGCTAGGTGGATCAACACTTCGCTAGGCCATGGGAGTCGGCGATTTAGCGAGGCCTTCATCCAACAGTGGATTGTTAATGGCTAATCATGATCATCAGCGCCATTGTACAACGTCTTGAGATGTACTCGCATCTGGATGCTATGTGAATATGCATTCTATTGTATCATAGAGCAGAGGGGACATACGGTCATCAACGGAAGAACGGGTGACTTGGATATGGGAAATTTTAAGTTCAATCTTGACTTAAAGCTTTCATGACTGCAGGAATGAATATTCTTTGGGTCTTAAAGTAAAGTCACGTAGATTGGTTCAAAGAAAATATTTTTGAACCTATCTACGTGATTTTACCGAAAGACACAGAATATTAAAGAAGTTCATCGAATTGGACAACTGGCAAAGCGGTCACACGGTGTCTCATTGGAGAGCCCTTGCCTGCCAGGCGACCGCCGTGCTCTCTGTTGTGGGGTTACAGCGATGCTCAAGGAATGACTTTTCTAGAGGGCTTCCACTATCAAGGCTGGCGACGAGGAACGCAAATATCACAAATATTGCTTTAAACTAAGACGAGGATTGATGGTCTACCTGGTCACTAAATAACTGCACAAAAAAACCTCCAACGCTGTCCTCTGGACAGTCCAGTCCCTTCACCTGATGAAGGCCACTTGTGTTGTGGCCGAAACGTCGTGATAATTTTATTGTGTTATTTTCTTTTATTATTTTATTCTCATTCTACGTGACTTCACCGAAAGAACCAAAGAAGATGAATCCTTGCAGTCACGAAAGCTTTAAATCGAAAAATACATTTGCTGCTTAAAGGATTTATTAAGATAAGTCCTCTTTTCTGGCCTATGGAGTTTGCCCCTCTGTGAGTTTTTCCAATGGATTATTTGTGTCGTGACATGCTTCTTATGGCACAAGTGGAATAAATTGGTTGGGAAAAAAAGATAAATAAGTTAAGGAAATAATGCATTTGCGTGGCTTATCTAAAGCTTTCCAACACATGTGTATCTTCGGAAGTATTTCATTAGCTTCATCATGCCTCACCTTCCCCCCCCCCCCCCCTCCGTTATGCATGGATGGACCGACAGAATGAATGCATACATGCTTTCAGTCTTGGTTGGAAAGTATAAAAATGAAAAGAGATTAAATGTGCTCAGAGCTCACGTGTAGCTGTCTTGTGGCGTAGGGTCGGCGGTGATGGGGAGCCACCCGTCGATGGGCAGCATGGTGCTGCTCGCCAACTCCATGAGAGGGCCAGAGCTGGCACACAGCCTCGTCGACCTGGAAGGAACTTTCACCAGCGTCAACCGTGGTGAGCCCTCCCCATCCACCTACCCACAGGTCCACCCGCCCGCCCGCTCACCTGCCCGCCCGCTCACCTGCCCACCCGCTCACCTGCCCGCTCGCTTGCTCACCCGCTGTACAGTTATGGCAGAATTAACTGCAAAGTATGTGGGGATTGCTTAAAAATATATTTGCGAGACCATGGTACAAGGCACATGCATTCTTGTGGCTTTGGAGTTTGGAAATTACATTTATTTAACTTTGAATTGTATACAAATATAATTATTGGTTCTAATGAGAGTATAGACAATGTAACCAGCAGTCAATAGATAATGACTAATTGTTTTCTTGTGTTCTTTAAATATTGAAATATGCCAATTGTATTGGCTAGACCACTGCATACTCTTGCACTTGAATTCGTGTGTTTTGGGTTATTTATTTATATACTTAGGTTAAACGGTAGTCCTAAAATATCCCACAGGCATTACAATTATTACAAATGGGTACACTTGTACCCTATGGCAAAATATATTGATAATAGCCTTCCACCAGCTTTTAGACTAATATAATATCCATTACCACAGTGAAATTGTCATTTTTGTCGCGAGCTGCGTGACATTCTGAAATCTATGACAGTTCACAGTGGAGCATGCCGATAAACCATGGGCGCAATCAACACTGAACAGCGGCAAGCGTTGGCTCACGTCATCAGTCGAGAAATGGTCTGCGGTTAACGGACGATTGAAATAGCCCACGTGCGTGACGTTTAGGTATGCGGGCCTAGTCAATGATCCCCCCCTACGCCTGCCTTGCTGTCAAATTACAAAATGCCATTCAATAATGTGCATTAATTAATGTCCTAATGAAACAAGTGGACCTGTAGGAGTCGCCTTGTAAAAGCCACGGCAGCAGGCAAATGTTAAACGTGTCGCCATAGCAACATGATGAGCTTGACGATTTTGCCATGGTAACGGAAATGACCCGAGACTTTAAGCTGCTGATAGAATATTACAAATGTATGTTACCGTTGAAGTGTGCCCCTTTATATTAAGATCAATGCCAAATGTATCTGTTTACAAATATTTGAATAAATAATCATTTTAAAAAAATGTTTAAGGCATTTATTCTGACCATGCTATGTCGGAGTGCTCAGTTGTAAATTGTGAATCATTTCACTACTCTATGATATTTATATTAACCGAATTATCGTTGCCTATGGGCACAGATTTCCGTGTGCACTTGGAGCCTTTGTTGTCACGCGGAAGGTGTTTAATGGAACAAGTGGTGATGTGTTTATAGCAGTAGCCATCAAATTTGTTTACCAACTAAGAGTGTTTGTTTGTTTCAGTACCGTCGGTTCACACCGCTATTTATGAATATGTTTTACATTTCATCGTGATCGTACAACTTATTGTCGTTACACTTTCATAACAGAAGGTCAGAATCACCTTTTTGAAGGTATATATTATGAAAAAAAATATATATATATTTGAATACACCGTTGCACAATGGCATTGATGATATCTCACATTTGCCTCTCCTTGTTCGCTCTCCCAGATGACTGGAACTCTGCGCTGAGTGGGCTTCTGCATGGGCCCTCCTCCGGCAGCCGTGCTCCACACAACAACACGCTTCGCTGCTACATCATGAGCTGTCCGGACACGCAGCATCACGCCGATCTCTTCGTGGCCGTAAGCGAGCACCCATCATTCATCAGTCAACCCGTACCACGAGCGCTGTCACCCATTAATTGTTGTCATCATTGGGATTTGAATTAACAACATCCATTTCGCCTACATGACTGTATTCGTTTTGAAAAAGGTAACACGAAGACACATACTATCAGGTGAGCCATAATAAGGCTACTGTCTCCCACCCAGACCATGACATTGGCATTTAGCTTCTGACCATATTTCCATATGCAAGAATAGAATAGAATCTTCATTCGGGGTGTCAAGATACAAAGAATTGTCACAGTTGAGGGTCACGATTGATTTAAGAATCCTATTTTTTTTACGTTGCGGTGCATGTCTCTCATGGCTGGAGGGGTCATGCGAACTCATTACCTTTAACATATATGAATTTTAAAACATTGATTTTTGCGTGAGAAAATCTGATGCATTTTCTCATGAGCTTAAGAAACTGTTAATCGACGCATTGTTACACCCCAAATAAGTATCATCATCATGTGTTATGCTTTTATATAAATGTTCTAAAAATAAATCAAACGGCTCTCACGATAAAAAAAATGTTCGTGTTGTCATAGGAATGTCATGTAGATATTTCTTTGCGTGTCTTATCGGAGTCTCCCATATTGTCAACAAAGGCACAGAAACTTGTCAGGGAGCAACAAAATATTGATCGCGACCGAACTGAACTTCACCCACTGTCGCGCCCAGCAAGCGTCTCTTATCTGATCTATAGAGGGCATGCTTTAGCTGTCGGCGACCACTGCCTATACTCTCGGTCTGACACTGTCTTTGTTCCCGCATAGCTGTCGGGCGCAGTCAGATGAAGTGCGAATGCAGATTTATGTTGGGAGGGGTAGGGTCGGGGGGGAAGAGGGGGCGCTGGTTGTTGTGCGTTTGTCAGCGTCTGGGCTGACACCATCAAACATGCCGCACATGAAATCCATCTTAGCCTAGGGGCCACCTGGGGCTTGAACCGTTGGTGGAGGCGTTCGCTCGGTATTCTGTACCAGCCAGTAACCTGGCCCTCAAACTGCCGGCTACTTATCATGTGCAACATTTGACCCTGCGAAAAAAAGACGGCCACCTCCTTGGACAGATTTTGTGATAAATGCGCGTGTTTTGAATATTTGTTCGTTAATTCTTTTGCACTCATCAATCTCTCTTAAGGTGTAAAGTCTGTGAAGTGTGAAGGACGTCAGCCTTTTGGGAGTGAAAAATGAGCCGAATAAAAATAAGATTGAACCCAAAAAAATGCGGTGCACGGTATAAATGGGATATATAAGAAAAGGAAAAAATTGCTCTAAGGCATTGGGGGTTTATTGTTTTTTGTGCGTTTTTTTTAATAAGGTCGACTGAGGGCAGCTGAAGCTCGCAATGTGTGAGAGTGGCTCTGTTAAGCAGAGTAGTGACAGTAGCTCCTCCCTCCTGCATGCAGCCTTTCGTAAACAAGCCACTTCATGCCTCAAGTCTGAACCCACACGTATGGGCACATTCAAATAACAAAGACTCAAAGCATTCATCAATAACACTGCCCCAAAAGGAGGGGAGGGGACGGGTGGAAATCTATAATAGTTGACGTTTTGGGCGGTAGCTTTGCTTCGTCTTTTCTCAAGAGAGATGAATGCCCATTGTTGATTGTGGTTGTGCACCAAGCCGTACGCCTTGTCACAATTTGTTCTTGTTACATTTGATTCTTTTGGCGGTACCCCGAGGTACCAAATAATACAAAATGGCCGAGGCAATTAAATATTTTATTTCTGGGACACTCTTTTTTTCCAGGGGTGTACTTCACTCCGCGATTGGGGTAACCAATCAATCCGAAATCAGTGCCACACTCCGCGATGTCGAAACGCAGCGAGAGGACGATTGCGCCGAAACCCTGAACGCTCGTACGCACCGTGGTGGTGCATCGTAGTGTACAGCTCGTCGAGATGAGTCGATTGCCGCGTCGACGACCATCATCAGACTAAAAATGACTGCATCACGGACATTGTGCGAGAGCCGGGGTACTATGGTTACCCCGGGGTACCACCATAAGGTTCATTTGGATCAGAACAGATAGTGAGTTGATGGCGATGTCGATTATCGGAACTGCGATTCTAGGCTGTATTGCAATGGAATGGGAAGAATTATAGGATAGGTAAGATTGTTAAAAAATAAATTTGCCGGTAGAACTGATGATAATTGAAACTGATATAATATGCATTGATCTATTAAAGTCACGGCATATTCATCAAATAATTTGCGTGCTAATCGATGATTCACAGCGTACGCACATGGCATGGAAATGCTACGCTTCGGTTAAACAAGGCTGCATGAGCGAGACGCAACAAACGATAAGTGATGCAAATGAGATGGATAAAATTATAAAAAAAAATTGACAATTCTGTGCGTCAGAGTAGAGGGGGGGAGGGGTGTAAATCGTCATATGCCTTTTTACTTGCATGCAGTAGGTAGATATATCGATCCAAATACAACGTTCTATTCCAGGCTCGTAGTCAGATTATTTTCGGAAGCTCGCACTACGGGCTGCCATGTGACCCGGCCTGGCCCCATTTTGCAACCTCTTCAACGTCCATGGGCTATCACTGCTCGGCAGCTCCAGAAACCGCGGTGCTCTCTCGATTCTCACTTGAGCTTGGCTCATTTAACACTGAATTGGGTTTATATATTTACTTTGTTAAATTGTACCCTGCAGCCGCACGCGCGTAAACCCAGATGCATTAACCCGTGCAGCGTTAATGCATGTGTCATTGTAAGTTGCTTTGAGAGGTAAGTGATACGTGTTTGTGTGTTAGAGGTTTCATATGAGTACAAGTTTGAGTGTGTTTTGTTTTATATTCGCAGGCAAATTATGAGAGTATCCATTTGATATGGGTGCGTGTGTACACATGCGACTGTGATTCTGTGTTCCTGTGATCGTATTAATGTGTGTTTGTTTTCATATGTGTGCGCGTGTTCCTTTGTGTTCTATATATGTTCACGTGTTTGTGCATCTGATTGCATGCTTGTTCTTGTGTTTACACATTTGTATTTATTTACGTGTGTGAGCAGTGGTGTAGCGGTTAGCGCGCTGCGCTATGAACTCGGCAACCCGGGTTTGATTCCCGCTCACGGCCAACACCAGTGACGATTGTCTGAACCGTTCCTGGGCCTCCCCTAGGTCAACTCAGCTTTAAATGAGTACCTGGTGCGGTGTGTCAACATCGCCACTGGGGAGACAAAGGCGGTCGGGCGTGTTGCTGGCCACCCACCCCCTCGTGTATTGTTCCGGCCTTCATAGGTGCTCGCTGACAACACTTGCCCTTACAGTCTGTTAAGGCTACACGGGGGATCTTTGTCTTTGTTATATTCATGAGCGTTTATTCACATGTTTGTGCTCGTGGCTGAATGTGTGTATATATATGTCGTTTGTGCGGCCTGTGTGCATTCATTCATTCCTGAATTAGTTTTTTTATCTGCGTATGTGGTCATGCACAAGGACTGTTCGTTCATGCTAATTGAGCGTATTGTATTATATGTGTGTGTGTGCGTGTGACTGGGTGAATGTACGTGGGGACCAGTAGCGCAGTGATTAGGACACAGCACTTCGAACCCGGCGACTCGAGTTCGATTCCCGCTCACGACCAATAAGGCGAATATTTTAATCTGTTATGAGCCTCACTCTCCGAGGTTGACCTTGGGGAAACATCGCCACTGGGGAGACAAAGGCGGCCGGACGTGGTGCTGGCAACCCACCGCCTCGTGTGCCCCAATGCCAGGACCTTCATAGGTGATGCTCGCGAACAGCGCGTGACCGAGCAGCATGTTAAGGCTTACACGGGGGATCTTTTGTCTTTGCGTGCGTGCGTCTGCAGCGGGCCGTTCCCGAGCTGCAGAGCGTGTGCGAGGCGCGGGGACACTTCTTGGTGGCCGTGAGCTTTGGCAGCGCGGAGCAGAAGGGGCTGCGCGAGAGCCGCAGGAGGGAGATCGCCGGCGCAGCGCTCCTCCTTCTCTTCCTGGGCCGCTCCGTGCCGGCGTGAGTCCCCCACAAGCACTGTCTCCGAACCAGTGCCGTTGTTAAGATGCGTCACGCGTGTGTGGAACGATGGATGCGTTCGATTAGAATTGACTCTTTTGTGTGTGTGTGTATGTTGAACTTGTTTCGCACCGTACGCCGCCAACCGCGCGAATCGGAGGTGCGGGGGAAAGGACAGCAAACTAAACACAAAAAGTCGCAATGAGTTTTCAATCTAGATTTAAAGGTGCATGGCTCCAGTGACTTCCTAATATTGGAAGGAAGAACGTTCCAGACGGTCACAGAAGCGCGTCTCAAAGCGCGCGATCCAGTGACCTTCTTTGTTCGATGGTGTGCATGATGCTTCATGCATGCCAGTGTAGGTTCTCTACGATTCGTGAAAAATGATTTGCAAATAAGAACATTTTTACGTTACATTGAGGCTGATAAGCTGGATAATGCTGTAAAAATTGGGATATAAAGAAAACGGCACAAATGAGACGGTGAAAACAGGACAAAGAGCTATTGATTCCGAAGTCAAATCATGACCCCTATTCCTGACAATCGAATGTGCTCAGGGAGATGAATAGTTACATGCCTTGTCTCAACACCAACTTTGCCCATTGTCTTACTTCAATACACCTCTCCTTCTTACCTGGCATTATTGCAAACTCTGCACTAAATATTAATTAAAATTTCTAACTCGCTTTAACCTTATTCGTTAACTGAACCCAAAATATAACATCTTTTCCATATCAGTAGATTTCCTAACGCTCCTTTCTGTAATTGGAAAAAAAATCTCAGTTCTAGATCCACTTTAATAATAGTCCTTGAGGCTTAACGAGACTGTCCTTGTTATAAGCCTAATTTATAGTCTATGCCCAATTTTTTCCCAGAACTATATACAATGCCCAAATGTGTGCTTAATTCTTCATGCTAAGCTCTTGTCCTTCATCCTGCCCTTATATCTCACTCTGATCCTTGACCTCAGGTCTCACCCTGAATTACAATTTCATAAAAACCTTCATCCCTATCCGGCCAGTTTGTGCCGTTGGTAATGCGTTGACCCTCATTCGTAAGGTCGTAGGTTTAAGTCCCCTTGAGTGATCAACTTTGGTCGGGGTGGGCACATCTTCACGGGCCCCGTGCCCGCACAGAGCCAACGCAATGGCGGCGAATGTATTTTAGTGCACACATACATCGGAGAACCGGTGCAATTGCATTTGGCCGACTTGATTCAAACCCAAGATTTCAGCGGTGCCGTCTCAGCGCCCTGAGCCTGCCCGGCCACCCCGTTCTGTCGGTCCGTCGTAACCACGCCGGCGCCCTTTCTCCTCCGGCTGCTGCCGCGCCGAAGGTACGTGGCGGAGGACTGCGAGGAGGCGTCCCTTCGGCAGGCGGAGGCGTCGAGGCCGCTCGCCATCGCCCGCTGGGTGGGAGGAGGGGCGGACGGGAGGGGGGACGCGGCGAAGGGAGACGCGGACTCGCCCGGGGCTCTGGTTGCGAGTTTAGCCGCGACGAACGCAGCCCAGCAGGTCAGAGTGAGCGGAGGCCCCTGGGGCCCTGGCCTGCGCTTGCACCGGGACGAAGCGTGACGTGCAAAAACTTAAGCAGCGCGGGAAAACCACGCACGCGCATAAATTACGCGACGCCTTCGAACATGCACTTGTCCTTGGACGTGAAACCGATGGGTGACCGTGTGGGCAAAATATTTTTGCATACTTACTGATAGCCATTTTTGCTTTGCTCTGCTTTGTGTCTTCACGTTTTGAGTAACTCTGTGATCAATGTGGCCCGCTTTCAAGTCCCTAATGTACGTATGAATGTTGAATTTCTTTCGCGTCATACGTAGCCAACTGTGCTAATCGGAAGTGTAGCTAACAGCACAACTATGTACTACAGTGTAGTTCATATTCACTCATGTTTTCGATAATTATAGTGTGTCCCCCCCCCTCCCGTTAGAGATTTGCCGGACGTACCATCCATAATGGCAGAGCATTATACAGACAAAGATTCCCCATGTGACCGTTGTATACTGTTGGGATAAGTGCTCTTAATGAGCACCTTTAAAGGCTGGTAGAACGCACAAGGATGTGGTGTGGCAGACATCCTGACGTTTACGTATCGCGCCGGGTACATCATTTTGACTCCGTCATAAACTCTCAGTCATTTTTACTTTACCAGGTTCGGCCCACTGAGCTACGTAGCTCTTTTTTCAGAAGCGACTCGGCCACAAATGATAGCTCATCACGTGGAAGTTTAGAGCAGCCAGCAACTCTGAACGCAGGTCGATTTTAATGCAAGCTACAACTAAACCGGCGTCTGGGTTGGGATCGAACCTACGACCTCCTGTGTTGCAGACGAGGAAGTTAACTTCTTGGCACCGTGTCGCGCGTTAACATCTCGCCAAGTCAGCCTCGGGGAGGCCCAGAACCATTTCAGATATCACTAGCCACTGATGTGCGCTGTCGCCTGGAATCAAACGCAGGATTGTGCTGCTATCTGCTGATGGTCTCGCAACCCAGCAGGCTTGGGAGCTTCGCAAATTCACCTGATCCACCAACCCTTGTCTCCAAAGCTCTGGATTATAGGCTTTCGACCACACCCCCATCAGTATGTGCATATATATTATGTGCATTTCCCCAGTTGAATTGTCAGAGTTGCGACTAAATCCTGTTTCCACTAATTCTGGTTTCATGTAATGTATTTGATACTCTTTTAATTATGAAGGTATGAGTTTAGCTTAAATGTTGTACGGTTTTATCGTATGTAAGAATGTGTTTCATTACATGGGATTCATATTTTCCGTAATGCTGGTTAGTACTTCGCCTTTTAATGAGCAAAACATTCTGCAACTAGTTAATCATCTTGGACCTAAGGCGCTGTTATATATACACATTGTTCACAAGATATAATCTGCGCACACATTTCTTCCAGCTAAGCACTGTTTGCTCTTTGAAAGAGAGTGTGTTTATTGATTGTAATACACCAGACTTGAATAACAATGATCGTAAACATTGGCAGTGCTGCAGCATTCAGAGAACAAATGCGCCTTTAAAAACATTGTAACTTTCTGCCACCAGGTAATTGAGTACAGCGATCCGGAAGAAGGAATTGAGAGGTTGCAGGCCCACGTTGGAAGAGCCATTAAGCGGGTACGGATGATCACACTTGCACTGAGCAGCACGAACCCCCACAGCACGTACGGTGCAAAATAAGTTTAACATACATACAAAGACAAAGATCCCGCATGTAGCCTTAACAGACTGTTGGGGGAAGTTCTGTTAGCGAGTAGCACCTATGAAGGTCGGCACGACACACGGGAGGGTGGGTGGCCAGCACCACGCCCGACCGCCTTTGTCTCCCTATAGTGACGATGTTTTTACACATCGCCACGGGGTGTTGGCCGTGAGCGGGAATCGAACTCGGGTCGTCGGGTCCGTAGCGCGGGACGCTCATCGACACGCGACCGCTCCCAACGACGTACGCACACAACTCCACCTGCGAGCCACGCCCCCCCCATGCACTTGGGAGCGTGCGTGCGTGCGTGCGTCCACCCACCACGTGCGTCTCCGTCGTCCGCCAGGAGCTGCGGAGGTGGAGGGACGGCAGCGGCGTCGACGAAGTTTCCGCCGCTGCCAAACCGATCCGGGTGGCCGAGAGCCCCGGAACCCCCACGAAGGCTTCCGCAACGGATGGCGGCGGCGGGGAGGGGCGGCCGCCATCCTCTCCCGAACCGCGGCGGACGCAGGGGAGCAACGGCGGCGGCGGCGGCGGCGGAAGCGCCGCGAGCGGTGCGGGTGGTGGCGACGGCGAGGGTGACGAGGGGGAGGGAGATGAGAGGGAAGTCGAAGAGGAGGGACCAGGCGACTTGCTGTGGGACCGCCACCTGGAGCAGGAGCAGCAGGAGGCCCTGCAGATGGCGGCTCAGGCGTCCTTCCCGCTCGGGCTCGAGAAGGTGTGCTCCGTGCTTCCCACGCGTCTCCTTGTGTCCCCCCCATGCGTCCCGTGTACGATTTGCTCCCCCAGCTCCAGGTGGAACCACATTGCCCCCCCCTCCCCCCCCATTCCCACTTCGGGAAGCTACGTGGGGGTATGGGCAGTGCCTAGGATTGCAACCTCACTTCTGAGGTAGAAGAAACTGGGACGTCTAAGGGGAATGAGGAATATCCCACAGAACCGGAAGAGGGGAGGAATTGCAAGTAAACGCTTTGTATGTATTTATGGTGAACTTCTTCCGCACTGTACGTAGCCAAACGTGCGGGGGAAGGACAGCAAACGAAATACAAAAACATTGTTTTGAGTCGTGAATTAATATGCAACTCAGACTTAATGTCTTGGGAAGATTCACAGATTTCCCAGCGCAGCTACGTCAAAAAGAGGGCACTCCTGGGAAAATCGGGACGGGTGGCAACCCTTTTATGGGAGCCCCTCACCACACGTTTGGCACAACGGTCCTTCGCTGACTATGCATGATCAATGAATGAATGGCAACCCTAGTCTTTGTGCTCCATGTGTGCCCATGTGCTTCATCCTTGCCCTGTGCTGAGTGTGTCCAAACTGCCTCTTGTGCCCGCCTTGGGTTCTGTGAATCACACATTCCCTTGCTGAAGATTATGCTGCCCTTTCGCATTCATGCTAAGCGTTCCATTCAGTATACGACGTAAAGTAACCGCAAAGTTAAAGGGAGGAGGAATAGTCACACGGCTTGCGAAAATTTGCTATATATATGGAATCTTCATTGGCGTAATGTTTGAATTATTTTACATTCCTCTGAAAATGTCATAATATATTAAGAGGAATGACAGTTTTAAATGTAATATAAAACTAACACGTTCGAACCCAGTGCATGATTTAAAAATCCCTTTATAAAATGTATATGTATGCGTGTTTACCGACACACGCACAGACACACGCACTTGACACGTAAACAAACAGCAATTCCCCTTCTTTGCAGAGTCTCCGTGATGTGTACAGCCTTCCCTAAATTGTACAGAAAAGGTGTGCACGGATCTCCAGAGGCTTTTTGCCAAACTCTGCACTCAGGCTTTTATTTGTTCCATATGATTCCTTCCCGTGTGCGCGCGTTGTCCCTTGACAGTACCTGCAGAGGCTGCACGACCTGGTGGCCGCCCCGGGCCCCACTCCTCCTCTGCTCGTGTCCGGGGGCCCTGGCTCTGGGAAGTCCCTGCTGCTCGCCAAGTGGTGGGTGTGCCGGCCTTTTGGCGATCCGATTCGTGGCGACTCGCTCCCACTCGCAACTCTACGAGTCGTGGTCGCGATTCTTCGTCGCTCGCGTCGGCAGTCTCCGTTGTGTTATTTGGTGTTTGGTCTGCTTCCACTGTAAGTCTCATTGGCGCTGTAAGGCTAAACGGAACATTGGCGTATAATTTGGCGTCAATCATAAATAATCGATTATCTCTCACACACACACACACTATTTTATGCATGTACCTTCATTTCAAGTATATATATTATTAATCAATAAATTATTATGATGGTGACGATGTAGCTCTCTGCCTTCTTTCTTGCCCGACCTTTCTTTTTACCGCCACCACCCCCCCCCCCCCCCCCCCACTGCTTTCGTCTAAGCGCCTGGTTTATGGAGCCCCCCTTCCACTTGAAATTAAATCCATAAATAATTACAATGCCCCGCGTTTAAAATGCAGCCGCAAACGTTACCTCAGTCGGGGGTGGGGGCGTTCTCTCAAGTGCGTCTTCTATCACGGGTGACCCGTGAAGGTGTTTTTTTTTTATCGGTAATGGTCGAATGTAATGTGGCACATTTGTTTTGTCATAATGTTTCCATCATGACTGCCTATGCCGTGAAGTTAATCTGCCGTTTCGCGTCGTGCAATGCATTTTGGTTATTGGACAATAATGCATATTCTTGCGGCTGTAAGTCAGATTTTTTGGACTGTTTTATCGCCGGCTCCCACCTATCTGCGTGTCACATTTATATCACTTAGCGGTTCGAACCTCGTGAGAAGGTGCTTAATAAATGAATCATGATCATGGTGACAGTGGGGTTAGGCATATATCATGGCTATGATGTTGCTGCTGTTGATGGTGATGCTGCTCATAACATTGGTGATGGCAATGATGACGATGCCTTTTGTCCAGTTCTATCTCTCAAATTCCTTTCCACGTTCTATTCACTACGACCGTAGCGATGCATTGCTTTATAACTTCAAACGTCTTCTTGTGATCACGATACCTGTATCGAATCACGTGCCTGTGGAAGAATAATGTATTTTTAGCTCACATATGTTGTCAAAGTACGTGGGCTTGGGCAGGACACATCACAGCTCATTTGAGCAGGGAATCGCTCAGAATTTGGTGCTAACACTCCTGCTAGTGTGAGCAATGCAGCTGCTGCGAATGCTGACGCCGTGGCTGCTGATTCCGTTGCAGGATAGAGACGCTCCAGACACACTCCCCCAGTAGCCTGGTGCTCTACCACCTCGTCGGACAGCCCTTCTCCTCGAGTGCCGACCCCGTACTCATGGTTCGACGCTTCATAGTCAAGGTGAGTCTCATAGTCAAGGTGAGCCTCATAGTCAAGGTGAGTGATGGTCAGAGTGAGTCTCATAGTCAAGCTGAGTCTCATAGTCAAGGTGAGTCTCATAGTCAAGGTGAGTGATGGTCGGAGTGAGTCTCATAGTCAAGCTGAGTCTCATAGTCAAGGTGAGTCTCATAGTCAAGGTGAGTGATGGTCAGAGTGAGTCTCATAATCAAGCTGAGTCTCATAGTCAAGGTGAGTGTCATAGTCAACGTGAGTGATGGTCAGAGTGACTCTCATAGTCAAGCTGAGTCTCATAGTCAAGGTGAGTCTCATAGTCAAGGTGAGTCTCATAGTCAAGGTGAGTGATGGTCAAGGTGAGCCTCACAGTCAAGGTGAGTGATACCAGTGTTACATGCAAATGTACAATATTTTTTTATGAGTTTTACAATGCTTCCCTTTTTACTGAACTGTAACACATTTCAAAAACGCCGACCATATGGGCATTTAAACACGGTCACATTACAGTGTTCCGACTCGCGGAACCGTTCGACTCGCGGACAGGTCCCAGGAACGAATTGTTACGTTTGCGAGTCGAGAAACTGCCCGCAGTTTGTAGTGGTCAATGGGCCGGCATTACAGCCGTCGCCACCATGTGCGCTGTGCTGCTGCTGCTGCAGCTGCTGCAGCACATGTGGTGGGTGCCTGTGGCGGGCCCCGACGGTGCGCGGCTGCTGGAGGAGCTGCCCTCCTGGCTGGAGCGGCTGTCGGCGAGGAGGCAGGGCTGCATCATCCTCCTCATCGACTCCATCGACCGCATTCAGGTTTCTCGGGAGACGTGGCGGGACCCCCCCCCCCCCCCCCCCCCCCCCCCGCGGTAGATGCGAGGGACAGGACGGGGGACGACGAGGAAGGAGGAGGGGAGAGGCGGGGGAGGAGGAACGTGGTGATGGCGGAGGGGGAGGAGGGAAGAGGGGGAGGAGGGGGATGAGGAGGGAGAGGAGGAAGGGAACGAGAAGGGAGGAGGGGGAAGGAGGAAGTAGAATAACAAGGTGAAAGATGTAAAGCTGGGGTGGAGGAGGCAGATGAGTAGGAGGAGAATGTTAACGATGCGGGAGGTTACATGCCACATACCTCGTCCGTTAAACATATCGACATTTTAAGTTGCTTATTAAATCCTTCAACTGTTCAATTTTTGTTTTATTATTCCCAAATAAAGTAAACGATAGTCTCGTTTCCAGTCCGTTGGTACATTTCTGAGAGCAGCGCTCCCTCGACGCGACGATGGCGGTTTGTCGTCAATCGTCGGTGACCGATGTCGTGATTGTGCTCGCCGGTGTCGCCACCTGTGCGGCAGCATGCGGAGAGGCACCTGCCGTGGCTCATCGACCCCCTGCCTGTCAACCTGAGGGTGGTGGTCTCCGTCAACGTGGAGACGTGTCCTCAGCCCTGGAGGTACTGCCACGGGCGCTGATTCAAGTGGGCGGAAGCCGCCCCCCCGTTAGGGCTGATCACAAAAAGACCCCCGACTGGATGGCGCTGTGGTTAGAGCACTCGGTCTCGCATCGGAGGGATAGCCTGTGTGAAAATGATGAGAGTCCACACGTGTTTTAAATATCCCACGTTAGCGTCTATGGATAACTTTTATAAAATCCACTCATAATGCTTAATTGTGCCATCTCCCCATGTATAGCCACAACAATGAACTTAATAGATCACCTTTTCATCCACTAATCTGCAAACTCTCAACAAAAACCCTCTGGACAATGACATGTTGTGAACTATCAAGTTTTCCTCGCAGGACTTTCTCCTCATTTGAAAGTTTGCGACTTCAGTCGAGCGGTCTACTCGAAAATCCTACGCAGCTCATGGTTAATTTATTTAAATGAAAATACTCCTTAGGAACTAATTGCTTCTCTGCGCTAAAAAAATACACATCACGTGGCTATTGGTCTTGATGAGTTGCGTGATTGGGTTAGGGAGTTGTATATTTTTATTGAAAGCAGGTGAAGTGCCCTCTGATGACCACACGGACATATGGCCAGATATGAAACATCTCGGTCATGACAGTAAGCAGCCAATCGACTTGCGTCAATGTGTTCTGGTGCTCGTGTGTGCTCCATATATCTGCACCCATATCAGTAGCATGAATGAATCGGCTGGGAATTTGGCGTGGGGCACACGAGTTGAAATTTTATTATATCATATTTTAAAAGTATTTTTTTAAGTCTCTGATCAGTATCTCATGAGTCTCTGATGTAGACTACAATTCACCTAAGGTGGTCGAAACGTCTCATTTATACAAAAGTAGGCTGAGGCGAGCAGGGGCGGAGCCAGGATTTCAGGCCGGGGTGACATTCAACAAATTTTAATTTCAAGAATGATTTAGAGAGTCAGGCTGTTGAACTAGACGCCATCGGTTGGCGACACACTCTGACAGTGCAGTTGCACGGAGTCTGCCAGACCGAGTGTCGTACACTTACACGCAGAATGTCACCCCCCCTGTCACCCCCCCCTGGCTCCGCCCCCGGAGGCGAGCCTACGTACGAATGTTTGTAATGCGTGCGGTCACGTTTGGGCGGTTGCATGCGCGCACTCCGCAGGCTGTGGCCCACCCTTCACCTGGACGCCTTGAGCCCGAGCCACGTGAAGACCCTCATCCAAAAGGAGTGCTCCACCGTGGGACTGAGCCTCACCGACCACCAGGTGGGACAGGGCCCAATGCACGATGTTCGCTCGCTCTACACGCCGTGCGTAGGCCGCGTAGCCCCACCGCTTACGTTACTTGGTGACAACCCCTTCCACCTTTCAGCAGATTAGTGCTGCATAGACGAAGCATGGGGTACAGCAGTGGCTCAGCGGTTAGCGCATTGCGCTTTGAATATGGCGTGTCGTTAGCTACCTTGTATCTGTGTATGTTGTACGTAGCCAACCAGTGTTGCTTGTTGTATGTGTATACGTTGAACTTCTTTCGCACGGTACGCAGCCAACCGTGCCAATCGGAGGTGCGCGGAAGGACAACAAAGTAACCTCAAACAAGCAGTTCTAAAGAAATTAGTATTGAATCTCTCAATGCCAGCGTGTTATCGGTGCCAGCACTGAGAAGACAAAGGTGGCGCCACCTCCCCCTAAAGTGCCATGCTAAGCGTATTTGGCATTTGTTAACGGATCCTTGCCCCGTCAGCTGATCGCGTGAAGTAAGGGGGGAGGGGGCGCTCGTCCTATCTCTCTACGTGTATAAAATTGTGGTGGGGCGCTAGCGCAGTGGCTGGCACCCTGGGCTTTGAACCTGGCGAGCTGAGTTTGATTCATGGTCGTGGCGAACGTGACCGGCAAGCGCTCTCCGCACCAGTCCCGGGCCTGGCTGTCCTTCACCAAGCTGCACCGACCAGAATGGTGAAGTATGGTCAAACAACCCTCATTACTGGCACGGTTTGGGGAAGCCTTCATCCAAGCAGTGCGCTGACAAAGTTCCGTAACATGTGATTGTTTAGAATGTATTATATTACACATTTAACAATTTGCCTTCCTCACAGATGATTTGTTATGATTTAAGGTCACAATTCTCGAATCAATTATTTGGCAACTGTGGCACATTTAGCATCTCTAGTGGCTGCAGAGTTTACACGCAACGTCAATAGAACCTGAATGATTCTTACATGCACGATTACATTTAATTATAGTGAGCTTAACAATTGATGTTTAATCCACGAATAGTTGCGTCATGCTAAATATTAACAACATCAATCCAACCCCACCTGTCTTTCCCACTATATTTAAGATTCTCCCTGCAAACGTCAATATTCCCCAAAGCAGGCCACTCAGCCCAAGCGTCGAGATCAATTCTTTCCACTCAGTGACAGGAAATAAAATCCCTGCAACCTATTTTTTTTAATAAACAACCCTTCATTCAGCGTACGTAAACATTCACAAGCATTGGTCCTCCGGTGGCACCACCGACTCGATAATGTTATCCGAACAAAAGCTTTAGATTCGGCAAGCGCTCGCCGCAGCATCCCCCTGTTGCCTCGCGCGGATGGCTCGTCGATCCGCGCGAGACAACGGACGCGTTCGCAAAGCCGGTTCGGCATATTGCAGCGCGTGCTACCAACTAATATTTTTCACTCGGCACCCGTCTCCCACGAGGTTGTCAGAAGCCGCTGCTTAGGCGGAGGCTTGCTAATTAAGCTTTGTGTATTAATTTGTCGACCGAGTGTGCTGAGTGTTTCCCCCCCCCCCCCTCCCAGTGCGAGGCCGTTGCACCTTTAATGGGACATCATCCGTTCGTTGTGGATGTGTTTAATTGAACACATTTGTGAAAATCTGTTGGGCCAGCTGAAAGGAAACCCCTCCCCCCCCCCCCCCCCCCCCATAATTGAGTGTTTAACACATTAACCCGAGGGATGTATGCTTATGGTGTGAATCAATATGTCTGCAGGGAAGGCACCAGTTGGTGATGGTGAAAGGCTGGGGGAGTTGGTGTGAATGGTACACATTATAGGAAACTGCCAATGTAGCACACAGTGCATCCGTGCGATGTGATAACGATCACCAGCGATGGCACACCAAGCCGTCCAAGACAAGCACACATTTTGTATTTTTAAGTTATTCATACTTATACCACTGATCCGTGAACAAAGGGATTATTACCTTACCCAGTTGGCCACACAAATAAGAAACCGTCTTCATGGATTTTGTTTCATTTCATAAATACTTGTGAATATTAAATGCGTTGCTGATTTTGATGCGTTTTCAAGTGCATCGTGTGAAATGTGCCCTACATATGACAGTGCTCTTAAATGACCTGTCCACAGCTAAGTTCATTTATTCCAAATGTTTCCGTACAATCGTGAGCGGGCGGGAGACGACATTACATGTCACTCTTTTATTGTCGGTATTGGTGGGAATCATGGATTCAAACCCAGAGTCTCCGTTTTTCTGGTTTATTGCTTGTGAGGTCCTGTCACTGTCGAGTTATTCCCCCTGAGTAGCTCAGCACCTCCGCTTTAATTGTAGGCTTCATTTTTTTTTTCCTAAACTGAAGTTTTGTTGTCGGACAGGTGAAGAGGCTGGACATTCATTTTCGATCGGCCACCACCTGCAATGCCCTCTACACCACACTGGTGGCGCGGATGGTGAGCAGGTACTGTACTGGCCTTCCTTGTCAGTTAAACAAGTTGTCTTGTTCCCTATGTGCAGCCATGTAGCTTCCTAAGGAAGCTTCCACATATATTCTAATAATATTTAATACACATGGGTCATGCACATTCGTCAGCCAGCCGTTGATTAGCATCATAATCACCTTCCATACTGTTACTGGCTTACTGCACCTTGCATGGTTACGTTTCAGCTGCATTCCCCATTTCACCCCGGATTATCTATCACTGTTTGTTGCTATTATAAACAGAATGCTCCTGTGGTGTAATGGTTAGTCGCCGGTTCGATCTCCCGGCGCGAAAGTCGAAATAATGGGGCAAATTTTTTCAATCCCCCCCCCCTCTATCTGTCCACCCAGCAGTACATACAGTGAGGGAAAAAGTATTTGATCCCCTGCTGATTTTGTACGTTTGCCCACTGACAAAGAAATGATCAGTCTATAATTTTAATGGTATGTTTAATTGAACAGTAAGTGACAGAATAACAACAACAAAATCCAGAAAAAATCCAGCATGTCAAAAATGCTATAAATTGATTTGCATTTTAATGAGGGAAACCATAGTTAGTTGACCGTCAGGTTGGGTAGATTTGTGGGGGTTCTCCGAAGATGTCCGGCGAGCGTGGAAGAGAAGGCCACGTTACATGCCAGAGTGGCTGGCATGTATGTGGCCAGAGTGGCTGGCATGTATTTGGATGTCGAGTGGAGAGGCGCCTTTCTCTCCAACAGTGGCGTGGGAAAGCAATTTCGGTATTAGAATGTTTTGCTCGTGAGACGTCGTTCGTGAGCCACGCACCCAGACTATGCAGTTTAAATCTGCCTTTGACAAGATAAATAGACTCAAGACTGAACTAAGTGCAAACTTGAGATTGACTTTAAATGCCGCTGGAATAGAAATGAGACAAACTTGGTGTGTCTGACTAATGTGTATTTCCTATCTGATTTTCGTATAAATCCGGCACTATTTTTTGTACTCAATACTGAAAACATTACTGTCGCTTGCTGAAATCTTCTTACTTAACCGTATTTTATTTTTTTAACAATTCCAATTTCGCATTCGTTGTTGTCCATCATGCTGCCACTTTGTTCGCTTGAGTGAATTGTCCTTCAGTCGCACGTTTTCACTCCTGCCTCCTTCACACTGCCAGGACATTTCTGAGTCTCTTCTCCTCCACGTGCCCTTTTGCTATAGCTTTTAGCATGCCGCTGCCTCTTATGATATTCCCCATCCAATTCCATCTCCGAATTCCAATGACCATCATTACGCACCCCCCCCCCCCCCCCCTTTATCTTCTCGCGCTTGCACCTCTCTTTTAGTCTATTTCTTTGTCCACTTAACCATTTCATTCTCCTCCAGCACCACATCTGGGCTGCTTTGAGTCTCTGATTCTTTCAACTGCTTTGATTCTATATATCAGCTGCTTTGTAACCTGATGCTAGAGTGGTTTGGATATTCCGTTTTTTTATGAAAAGTTTTTTTTCTTTTTTCAATTTTTTATTAAAATTTTCACTCTTGCCATCAAGTCATGGATAAAGAAATGTACATTTGGAACTCTCAGAGCAGTGCATCACCCCGTGTTAAAGAACGGCCCGCAGAAAGTGACAACACAGAACTACTTCTGAGATTGCTGTCTTAGCCACACCAGTGCTGCTGCCATAGAGCTATTAATTGCATCGCAATCAAACCGACTATCTTAAATCTGGGAGCTGAATTTGTTGTAAAGTTAAGAGAAAAAATAAATGTATTAGGAATTTGTGCAGTCTTTGTTGACCATCAGCCCGCTAGACTCGTGAATCCAGTTTAATCACTGTTGGCTGAAAGCCTGAATTCAAACCTCGTGCCTCAGAAGTGCTGGCTCATTGTAGCTGACCCCTGACCCAGATGGCCAAGTCAGAATAGATGTTTCTATTGCACAGCTCCCTTTGATTTGGGAGTCCGTGCCATGTTCTTGCCACTGTCCCCACCACCACCATCCTGTGGTGCCAGGGCACGGTCGTCCCAGGAGCTGGAGGAAGCTCTGCACCCATGCCTGCAGTGCCACGACACCCCTACGCTCTTCCGCCTGGCGCTCCGGGTCACAGAGTCCACCCTGCGCGCCGCCAGGGATCGCGAGCGCCTGCGAGAGGTGAGTGGCTAACGTTGCGCGTCCAATTGTAGGCCAGGTAATGCTGTCGGGGCGAGTGCAGTTTGCGAGCGCTCACTCGAGCTGGCTGGCAGCAAAAAAAGATTGGGTGGTGTGGCCAGGACCATGCATGCCCAACTATTTTAGGGTGCCATGGTGGTGTGATGTTAACTACCTCTTCTGGTGCACAGGAGGTCGTAGGTTCGATCCCAACCCTGACGCCTGCTGTATATTTGGAGTTTGCGTGTCCTCCCCATGGTCGCTTGACATTTTCATCGGATTCTCTGGTTTTTCCTTCCACATTTAGAAACATACTTTTAGAGTATTTGGCTGGTATACATTCCCACATAAGCCACTTTTTGTTGAGCTATCATTTGTGGCTAGGTCGCTTATGAAAAAGAGCTCTATAGCTTATGGCGAGGCTGCTCTCACTAATAACTTCTCCGCAAAGCGGTACCTATTTTAACGACCCTGTGGAGATGATGGGCTGATTAAATCCCCACTGAGGATTTGGACTCGCGACTTTCTGACTGCGAGCCACCTTACCTAGCCATATGATTAGCAAATGTAATAATAAGTATGAGCTTATATTGAGCCTTTTGCAAAAAAATAATCCCAAGGTTATTTACACTAGATAAAAATGCTAGAAAAAATCAATGAAGAAAATGTAATTTACAGCATGAAACTGCAAACTGTAAAAACACAAAAGCCCTTATGATGATGAAATCCTGCTCAGGAGAGGACAACTCTTCACTCCATCTGTAAAGTCCGTGTTGACCAGAGGGATAAACCCCCAACGTGTGATTATAACTTTACTGATTAAGAGCGACTCATGCCCTTGCAATAATGAATTAGGTGATGCTTGCGAATATTCTATCTCCACGTATATCCTGCATGCATGGGCGTACAAATCATCGCCTTTGTGCTATTCCCACACACAAAGGACCCCCTGGTGTTTAGCCTTCGAAGACCTTTGGGGCAAGTGCTGTTAGCGAGCACCTATGAAGGCCGGCACAGCGCACGACCATTTGGGTGGCCAGCACCACACCCGGCCGCTTTTTGGCGACCTAGTGGCGATGTTATTTACACACTGCACCAGGTACTAATTTTTAAAGCTGATTCGACCTAGGAGAGGCCCAGAACGGGTTAAAATATCCACCACTATTATTGGTCGTGAGTGGGAATCGAACTCGGGTTTTCAGGGTTTCTGTGCAGTGTGCTAACCACTGTGCCACGGCTCCCTACACTTCACACAACGACAGATCCCCCGTTTATCCTTGACACCAGGAACACACAGACCAGAGCGTGCATTTTTTGTTCATAAATTTTGATTTAAAACTTTCGTGACTGCAGGAATTCATATTTTTTTGTTCTTTCGGTAAAGTCACGTAGATAGAAAAAATAAGAATACAAATAAAGTGAATAAAAATAAGAAAACATAAATATAATAAAAAACTAAAAAACACTAATGTAGACTGTAGCCTGGTTCTTATTCGGAGTGAGTGTACCGGCAGTCTATAATCTAGACTGTAGCAATGGTTATAAGAATAACCATTGCTACAGTCTACATTATAGACTGCCAATACGCTCACCAAGCTTAAAAACCAGGCTACAGTCTACATTATAGACTGCCAGTACACTCACCGAGGTTAAGAACCAGGCTACAGTCTACATTATAGACTGCCATTACACTCACCAAACTTAATAACCAGTCTACAGTCTACATTATAGACTGCCAGTACACTCACTCCGATTAAGAACCAGGCTACAGTCTGCATGAGTGTTTTTTTGGTTTTTATTATTTTTATTTCATTTTTTATTTTAATCCACTATATTTTTATTTTTTCTATCTACGTGACTTTACCGAAAGAACCAAAGAGTATTTTTTGTTCTTGTTCATGCTCCAACTATCTTAGGCATCAGCGAGTTGCCGAACCTGTAAGGCATGGGTTTGTTGTGGAACCCTTAAAGCAGAGAGCCAACCCAGGGTGCTGTGAAGGATTTGAAGTCTATTGATCGTCTGACACATTGTCAAAGCAACATGGGCTGCACTGCACACACTGTCAAGGAGGAAGCCTGCTGCTGGGACTAAGACGGGTGCATGCTGGGGGTCCCTGATTGAACAAGCTCGCAATATAAAACGTGCTATTTTTGGACTACATTTCTAGCTGAACGAATTTGTTATTGTCATTCATTGTTAGTGGGGGTTTCTTCTCCATTTGGCATTGGATTAGGTGAATTGCGTTGGCGAATACCCGAGTAGTAACAAACAGGCTTGTAATGTGATTTTTTGTTATTTTATTTTCACCTACGTGACTTTACCCAATAGAACCAAAGAGTATAGGCTTGTAATCATTCGCAACCTTGGGATGCAATGAATTGTCACAGTTTGATTCAGGAATTATTTTTTACTTTGGGATGAATGTGCAACGACCTCTAGTGGAAGCAAAGGATTGCGTTAACGCAGTGCACGCACGGTAAACAAATGCCATCCGAGAACACGTCCACGGAGGAGATGGAATTATGCAATCTGTTAGGGTGCAGGTGCTAGGTCGATTGGTCGCATTGTGGGATCGTCAGAGGTGACACCTTCATCCCGCAGTGGAATGAATACGGCGCACACATGTATTGTGACCGCAATTATTTTTTGAATCCATGAATCTATGCATTGCTTTGCCATCTAGCAGTGTGTCGGATTTGTGGCAACATTGACAGCGATTGATTCCGTTGAACAGGTCCCCTGTGTGGAACAGTCACAATGTGGAGAAAAAGGAAAGATGCAGCGGCTATTATCCAAGTCACTCGATTAGGTGTGGCCAATAGTTTTTGATGTGAACTATATCTGTCAATCATTTAATGAGCAGCATTGGCTACACCCGACTAATTCTGCTGCACACTGTGGTAATTCCACCGAAGCCTTGTCTATGATTGAAATCAGTGTTTTGTGCCTTTATTTGCATGTGCGTGTGTATGTCTTCGTGTCTGCGTGTAGCTGCGCACGTGCGTGTATGCATGTGTCTATGAGCTCGCTCAAAGCACTTGCCTTAAGGGCCAGTGTAGGTTACATGGGGATGTTTGTCTTCGGCGTGTTTCAACATGTATGTGTGCTTGCTTGTGTGCATTTGGATTGGAGAGAGTAGGTGAGGTTAATCTATACCCTCATAATGAAAAGTGTGGTTCATATCTTGATCATTTCCTCTGTGTTTTTCGTGCCTATCTGAATGTCTGTCGGGGTGTTGTGGCGTAGTGGCTAATGCACTCCTAGAAACCAGGTAATTTGAGTCCAATTCCCAGCCATAGCTAACATCAGTATATTTGGAGTTTGCGTGCCTCTCTCCCCGTAGATATGTTAACTACACCACCTGGAATGCAGGAGGTCGTGGGTTCGATCCCGACCCTGACTCGTGCTGTATATTTGGAGTTTGCGTGTCTCTCTCCCTGTATTGTTGTTAACTACACCGTCTGGTGCGCAGAAGGTCGTGGGTTCGATCCCGACCCTTAGAGTTTGCGTGCCTCTCTCCCTGTATTGTTGTTAACTACACTGCCCGATACGCAGGAGGTCGTGGGTTCGATCCCGACCCTTGGAGCTTGCGTGTCTCTCCCCCGACGGTCGTGTGGATTTTTCTCCGGGTCCTCCGGTTTTTGCATCCACATTTTTTTGGGCTGCTATAGGTTCCCACGTGATGATACGCCATTTGGTTGAGCTATCATTTGTGGCCAGGTCGCTTCTGAAAAAGAGCTGTATATCTCAGTGGGCCTTACCTGGGGCGGAGGGGGGGGATCCCTATTTTTACCTTGGTGAATGTGCGCGTGTTCCCTTGCGTGCGTGCCGCGTCTCCGCCGTGATAAGCTGCTGTGCCTGGCGTGCGTGGCGCGCGACGGCGTGAGCGAGTCGGAGCTGCAGGCCATCGACCCGGGCCTGGGCTGGGCCCTGCTGTCGCCCCTGCTGCACACGCTGCAGCGCCTGTGCGTGCTGTCCCGCACGTGCGGCCTCATCAAGTTCCGTCACCTGCAGGTCAGGAGCTCGTGACCCTGCAATCATTTGTTTTCTGCGGCGGCGTTCATGCAAATGGGTCTATAAAACTCTGAAGGATTTCCGACACGGAGGTGCGGGAGACCACAGACGAGCGGATAAAGCAGCCGGAGCCAGCGCCAGCAATTGCCCAAGCTCTGTGGTCCCATATCGCGATGTTTTGCCAACTCCTTGAAGCGCTGACCTGGGAGACAAAGGGTCGGCGTTACACAAAAGCCACAAGGCTCTCAAGACAATCGGTTCCCAAAGTGTGGTGTGCGTCTCCCCCGGTGGGGGTTTACTTGTGACACGTCTAGGGGATACGCGAGACTGATGACGTCATGGCGGTGGTCCCGTGGGGTGCAGTCACGTGAGGTTACTAAAGCACCAGTGATAGGCCACTTCCGGCCAGATCTCCGGTTAAATTGTGAAATATTTAGTTAATCGTCATTAAATTATCAAGTGTCAATTGAATCTCAAAGGTGCTGATTATGTGATTCAAGCATCGCAGTTTTTCAGTTACTTGATGAAGTCTAGAACCTATGTCCTGGTAGGGGTACCCCGGACAGGCGATAGGTCTTCTGGGGGGTTATACGACAAACGCCAGATTGGGCAACATCGCTCTAAGAGATGATGGAACTTTGTGCGACTGACGATTGATTTTTGAGGGCCCCTTTGGACCTTGTGCTTTCACGCGTTTGCGTAAAATTGACTTCGGCCAGGGAACTCATTTCAGACACAGACCGAAGCCCCCCTTTACTTTTTCGAACAGAAATTGCTTTGGAGAATGGAAGTGCCGCAGAGAATTAGGGGAGTCAATTCTGTTTTTTTTTTTCCGCAAAGGGGTAGTAGATTATCAGATTAACCTTCACAGTACCGCGGAGGCAGATTCAATTGGCACGTCATTTTCAAATCAGCTTGGTATGGGGTAGGCAATGAATGTGTGGGGGTGGCTGGAGAGTGAGAATTTGCGTAAGAAAATGGGATGGTGCGGTAAGGGCACGGGTTGGCAACCTGCGGGTCTTTAAGGACCGCTTCATGACGTTATTTATTAAGGCCCACCGTCTCGTAATTCACATGCATTGATTGCGGCTCTTGAAATGTAGAGGATTTTTTTACCGCTTTTGAAAAACAAATGGCTCTTGTTATTTTGGTTGCCGACCCCTGACTTAGGGTAAGCAGGGAGGTGAGCCGCCTTGATTTGAAAGAAGTGGGATTACAACATTCTCGGATTTCGCGATAGATTACAACGAACCTTTAAGTTAACAAAAAAAACTCTTGGCATTTCCAACGCAGCCACTGTGCCAAGGGACAGGTTCACATGCGTGATAGCGAGGAGGCATCGGCACATTTCCTCCAGAAATCAGACGAAAGAAACCGTTTACTACGTGGTAGGTTTATGCGGTTGTGCTGCGTGTGCCCCTTTGACTTGTTTGCGGGTTGTACCGCGTGTTGTGCCGACATGATGTCCGTCGTTTTGCTCCACGTCCTGAGTGATTCTTCAGGAACTGAAGTTCCCCAAAAAAAAACAAAGAGAGCTAAATAGACCATTTTTCAAGATGAGAATATGGCCCCATGTCTATGGTAATGCATCTTGTGTTATGTATCAAGATAAATACATTTGACACTAATTCTGATTAACAACTGGAACAGCAGTAACTGTTATCATCATCATCCTCAACACCAATTCCTTGACCCAACTATGGCTGTTTGCGCAGAGAAATCCACCAGCCCCCCAAATGTCCTTGAGAACTTACTGTCACAGCGGCGGGCGTCCTTGCCAAAACTCCAATATTCTAACTCTAACCCGCTCCCCACGTGTCCCGTGCTGATCGACGTGTGCCTGCGCACGTGCACCGCCGCTCCCGTGACGCTTCATCCTTGTTCAGAGTGCTCTCCATTACGGTGCGGGTTTATCGCTTCTGCATTCTGAACGCAGCCCATGTTCGCTCCCGCATCTCGTCTGGGCGAGAACGCAGAGGCGTTGCCGTGCCGGCCTTCGCAGTTGCTCGCTGACAGCGCTTGCCCCAACAGTCTGTTAAGACGATACGGGGGATCTATGTCTTTTTTGCAATGCGCGGAGTGCACATGGTATGTACAATGTGCAGGACACACGTGACTTGTTGTGCGTGCGATATGTCTGATGCGTGTGCGGTGCGTAAAGGACACGAGGAGCGTGTGAGGCATGCAGTGTGTGCAGTGTGCGCGGGACGCGGCATGCGTGTCTTAGATTCGTGTGTGGCAAGCGCATAGCACCTGTGCGGCACATGTGTTCTACATGTAATCTCGCCGCTCGTGCTGCATGTGCGGAGCACGTGATGCGTGTGCAGGCTCAGGAAGCCGCGCGGCAGGAATACGTGGGGGTGCAGGGTCCCGGAGGCTGCCAGGTGTTCCGAGCGAGGCTCGCACAGCACTTCTCCAGCCGCCTCGCGTACGCACAGTGCACCACCGTGCACCACCGTGCACCACCACGCACCACCACGCACCACCACGTACCACCACGCACAGCGCACCACCACGCACCACCACGTACCACCACGCACAGCGCACCACCACGTACCACCACGCACAGCGCACCAGCACGGAGCACCACGCACCATCACGCCCCAACATACATACGCACGGCGCACCACCACACACCAAATTGCACCACCAGCACTGTCACGCACCCTCCGTCCCTGTGCCACCTCTCTGAAGCGAACGTGCGGGGCGAGCGTAGTAATGGGACGTGCAGCCCTGTTGTCTCGACCGTGGGCCAAACGACTCGGCACATTTTTTTTTAATGTTCGCCACGAACATCGACCGTTACAAGTGCATCCGCGATGTCTTGATGTAGTCAAAGAGTCTATAGTAAAACGAGCCACTGGTTTACTCACAAAGGCTGCTATGAGCTCTGCGGAATGTTATATTGGGAAACTGCTTGGGTGAAATAGAGTGCACCGTAAAGCATCGGACGCAACAATTAATTAACATTCCAAGGTTGTTAGGGGAAGCGAGAAGTGTTTTGATGGAAACAAAAAATGTATAAACTGCCAACATCAAAGTATGAAAAAATAAGAATAGGTTTTACCCTTTCTGGCAATAAAACAGGAGGTGTTAAGATGTTCACACACCAAATAGTAGTCTTTTGCAAATAATGTTTTGTTTGCATGTTCACCACAAGTTCGTGTGGTTAATGCAGACTTGATTCCTTGCAAAAGGTTTAATTTGGGGTTTGAATATCTTAACACCTCTTGTTTTATTGCCAGAAAGGGTAAAACCTATTCTTATTTCTTAATTTAGGTTTCTTTAATTGTTTGATAATAGATAATTATTCATATTAGCCATTGTTATTACACTGAGTTGTGATGTAAACGTCACGTGTTAATGATTTTTTTGCCCCGTCAAATTGTACCGAAGGGAATCCTTACTGAGAATAAATATGGGCAATGCTGTTTATCACGGTTTAGTGCGCACACACATTGATAATATTCAGCCAGCCCTCTGGCAATCCAATACTGAATGTGCGTCTGCCCATGCCGTGTCACTTATGGGGGCTGTTTGACCATACTCCATCATTTTGGGCAGTGCAGGTTAGTGAATTAGGGAGAGAGGCTCCCAGGACCTAGTTCAGTGATCACCCACCACTGATGTAAGCTGTAGCCAGTTGTAATGCGGTGTGTTCACTATTGCACCACCGCTCCGCATATATTCCATATGTAGTCCATGCTTGTATATTCGTAGATATGTACAGTCATGCATATACAAACACACAAAGACAAAGATCCCCCGTATAGCCTTAGAAGACTCGAAGGGCAAGTGCTGTTAGCGAGCACCTATGAAGCCCAGCGCGGAACACGACGGGGTGGGTGGCCAGCACCACGCCTGGCCGCCTTTGTCTCCCGAGTGGTGATGTTACACACCACACCAGGTACTCATTTGAGGCTGAGTCGACCTGGGAGAGGCCCATGACCGGCTCAAATAATCGTCACTGGTGGTGGCCGTGAGCGGGAATGGAACTCGGGTGACCGGGTTCGTCGCGCAGCATGCTAACTGCTCTGCACACACACGTTTGTAACGCGCGCACACACACACAGCTACACGGACCCCGCTCGCACAGGCTCCAGTCCTCACTGTGTAGTATGACCTGATTACAGAGACTCCTAATTCAGGTGTTATTACTGCTCCGCGTTTTGTACGATTTTTTCACTGCTGTAAAGTCGCCGTTATTCACCTGACGTGCGCACAGTCCCACTTGCGATAATCTTTCCCAAACCACCCTCAATTGAGCCGCTTCTAACAACGCCAATTTCCCCCTGCATGCATTGGCTGGGTCGCTTGCTTTCATCGGTTCCATACAAAACCAATGTCATTCTCCGTGAGGACGCTGCTGTGTCCTTTATGTAATGCGGCCGGTTGGCTACCTGCCAGCATCGGCTTCTTGTTGTAGGTGACATTTTGCATTACACCGTAGCATAATGTCCCAAACATATTGGATTTCTCTCTGTGTCCAACAATGCGCACAGGTACATATTGTGTTGAATTCCACATTAGTCATTCTTTATCGTTGCGAAATTTATATTTATTTTGTATAGTTATTCATATTCACGTGTTTATTCTGAGTGTATATTATCTGACTCAACCATCTCAATGTAATGTTATAGTTGTGGCGCCACAGCAACATCAGCAATATGAAGGATAAGAAGAATATCTACACAATAATACGTGTGTGTATTACATCATCATCAGCCATGGTTAATCCACTGCTGGATGAAGGCTACCCCAAGCCACTACCCACCTCTAATGATCCTGCAATCTAGTAATCCACCTAGTATCTGCACACAAACAGATTTAATCGCTCCATCTCCACATCACTCCACGTACGTACATATATATACACCACGTAAATCCTGTGTGTGTAGCTACATGTATATTCACACACACATTATTTACATGGGGTCGTAAAAAATAAGAGAAATTTCAAAATGATCCCACAACAAGAAATGTGGAATGTCCACTGTTGGCTCACAGTCAAAATCAGAATAGGATCACTGCAAGGAATGTCGGTGGCTTGGAGACCGCTTCGTCCAGCAGTGGACTGAAACTGGTCCAGATGCCTTGCTCCTGCCTTGCTGTGCTCACACCATTTGTGGTCGCAATATTTCAACTCAGTGTTGGCGCTTTTATAATTCTACCTTTTACGGTTCACGTCCGCTCAAGTCACTGCAGCGCGGCTCTGTTATAGTACCCCCAGGATTCACCGATGTAAACAGTTATTCGGGCTGACACATGGAAATCGAAATTGAAAACTCATTTTCTTATAACAGCTTTTTGTGTTTAGTTTTTTTTCCTTCCCCCGCACCTGCGATGAGCAACGGTTGGCTACTTACATAGTCACTTTAAGATGTTTCCTTGTTCATGTTTTTTGTTTGTTGCGGTTGCACCCGATTCAAGAGCCGAATGGCTCACAGGGCTGTACCAAATAACTGAAACTGAAACTGAATATATACGTACACGCGTACCGTGTCTAAAGCACGCTCCGCGTATGAAGCCGCTCTGTAAATCTCTCATCACGATCGTCACCGCGTCGCAGGGCCGGCCACGTGACTTGGCGTGTGGCGGACGAGCTTCCGTGGCTGCTTCATCACGACGCCGAGAGCCGACCGGCTCTGCAGGACTGCCTCCTCAACCTGCACCTGTGCCGGGACCTCTACAAGCGGTGCGTCCGTCCGGAACGCTCTTCCCTCCGACATTAGGAGCCACTGGAGCTCACGCACTTTTAAATTCTACATCGAACACTCACTTCTTTCGAACTGATTTTTGCACTTAGCTTGTTGTCTCTCCCCCCCCCCCCCCCCCCCCCCCTAAACATATGGTGCTAAAGACGTTCAACATTCATAGATACATTCTCAATCCTCCATGCAATAGTACATACCCCAGCGCTGACCCGCAGCCACAGGTCGTAACGTCTCTCCCGTGCCATTGCCTGTGCCGCCGCCGCCGCCGCCACCCCAGGGGCCGCTTCTCTGACCTGGTGAGCCACTGGCAGGCGTCGGGACGTGACCGCACCTCCTTGGCCGCCCTCTACATGGAAGCGCTGAAGCAGCGGGAGAAGGCGCCGCCGTCCGGGACGGCGAGCAGCGGCGGCGGCGACGTGGGCTCGGACGGCAGTTGGGAGCGCAGCGTGTCGGAGCTCGCCGACCTGCACGAGACGCTGGGACGCTTCCTCAGGGACCTGGGCCTCTACAGCCAGGTAGGTGCAGGGAACTTGGGTTGCCACCTTTTTTCCTGGGCTTTCGACAGAATCGTCGTGCGTTCGTGGAAGCTCTCCTGGGAAATCTGTAAGAACTTCCCAGGACGTTAAACAAGTTCCGTTTTTTTTTTTGTCAGTTGTGCGATAACGCTCCGCTCAAGACAACGCGTTGGCATTTAGTTTTCCCCCTCTTAGTTTTCCCCCTCTTTATTCCCACAATATGTCCAGGTTTTTTTGTACGTGGGCTTTGGGAACTCTCCCCGGGAGCAGATGGAGTAGTTGGGAGCAATGGGAGGAGAGGATTTAGTTTATATTCATAACAATGACATTTACATATCCAGGAAAGCCTCGCTAAGAGTCTTAAGGCTTATTTTCAGGAAGGACATGCTACGTTGTGATGTTTGGTCAGCGGGCCATAACCATTATTGTTGGTGTGGCGTGGGAGAAACCCGCAGTACCTGGAGACAACCCACCTAGAAATACGAAGGGGCAACACCACACAGATAAATCGAATAATCCATTGCTATATTTCCATCTGCTGGCCACTTGGCAGACCCAGCTTACAACATCTGGTATTACCCATCCAGTACCTATCCAGGTTCAATTTAGCTTGGCTTATAACGCTGATGGGACTGGTTGCTTTGAGTGTGATTTGGTTATGGGTGAAGTATTTTGTGAAAGGTCCTGTGAAAGCCGTTTGAGTAATGCCAGTGATGATTACATGGGGGTGGATATTGGTGTGTTTGTTTAACTGTGATGCCCGACTCTTGTACCCTCTCATCAGTTATAACATATGATATATTTGAGATCAATATGAATATGAAGTCTCGACCAGAGAGTTTCCATTCAATAATTTAACAAATTTAAACCATGACGTAGGTACACAAACGGCCTACGCCTGACAATTTTATCGGAAGTGGTCTACAAGCCGCTTAACCATTGTAGGTGTCACTTTAGCGATTGCGTCGCGCATTACTATGCAGAGGCGGTATTTGAACTGCTTTACGCTTGAAATCTGCTTCCCCAGTAGCCGGCCCATCCGCCATTGAGTTGTGCGACACAGTACTATAACAGTAATATAATAATACTAATATGTAAAGATACAATTATAATATTTAGGTTTTTTTTATTTATTTTGAGTCATCTATGCAACCGGCATCGCACAGTGCTTCGTGATCCGCAAAACACAGGGAGACCTTTTCAGCCGAACAATGGGAGGAGAACGGAGCGCGCGGAGGAGACCCAAGCATCTAAGAGGGCAACACTCCATCCCGTACAGAAGGAAAAGATAATATCAGCGTGCACTTTGCTGGACCGCCCTTCCTTCCTGGCGAGCAAGGGTTTATTGCGCCTCGACGCCCACGGAAAGGAAGTTTCACAGCATTCGTGTGATCCACCAACCCTTGCTGCCTCCACAGTGCTGGATTACAGGCATGCGTAGCCACCATGAATAATGTCTCCATACAATAGTAGTGTTCGGTGGATGATTTATCCATAAAAGCCTCATGCCTTATCCTATCATTTTCAGGAAGTGTCTGCATTGGGTTGTTCATCTTGTTCCTTCTAAAGTGGTGTTTTGGATCTTGGAGGAACTCAAGAGTACACGTACAGACATTTTGTCAATCCACTGCTGGATGAGGGCCTCCCCTATGCCACGTGGGTTCATGGGGACTACAGTATTTTACCATCTAGCAGTGCGAGGAAAGATGCAGAAAGAGAATGGGTTAACCTGTGGCATAGTGGTCAAACACCGTATCGCCGAGATTGAACAGTCAGTCTGGTAGACCGAGTCCTCGCGAGGAGGAGGGTGATGACGAGGCAACTGAGTGTCCGTTAAAGAGTGCCTGGAGGGAATCGTTGAGTGCAGTTCGCGGGAACAGTACCCATGACGGCAGCGACGGAAGCGTGCTAAGTAGGCGACTGAGCACCGGTGAGCGAGTGACCGAAGAGACGCATTCCTCCCTCCTCCTCCTCCGCACGTGCACAGGCGGTGCTGATGCTGCAGCGCTCGCTGGAGCTGCGCGAGACGGCGCTCGACCCGGACCACCCGAGCGTGGCCGGCACGCTGCACCGGCTGGCGGCCGTCTACCTGTCGTGGCGCAAGCCGGGCCCCGCCCAGCAGCTGTACGAGCAGGCGCTGGCGCTCGTGCAGAACGCGCACGGGCACGACGACCCCCGCGTGGCGCGCCACCTCGACGCGCTCGCCGCGCTGCACCACAAGCACGGACGGTGAGCGGCAGCAGGTCGCCCCCGGCGTGGCTGCCGCGCGTGCGGGCGGCGTGCGCCTGCACAGTTGAGTGGCGCCACCGAGATGTTGACTGCCTCGTGCGGTATACAGGCGGTCGTGGGTTCGATCCTGACCCCTGACGACCTGCTGTATGATCGGAGTTTGCGTGTTCTCTCTCTTACCCGTGGCCGCGTGGATTTTTTGTCCGCGGTGGTGGTTATGCTGGAACGCTGAGCCAGCACTGCCATCTTTCAATAATTATAACAAAAGTGTGTTTTGCTTTAGTGATTGATGGCCTTTATTTAAACCAAGCAAGAGCCTGGTGAGTCCAGGAGTTTCTATTTCAAGGGAGACCTTGGTTAAAATAAATAAGCCGAAAAAATTACGTCCCTGAGTAAAAAGAAATATTCAAAATGTAAACACATGACAGAAACAATATGTAACAACATAAACCAGAAACAATGTAAAACATTTTTGTTACGATGAGGATTTCATTTTTTTTTTTTTAACATGAATAATGTCTGAGTAGGGGATCTAGTACTAAAACAATGTGTGCAGCCCTTTATCAAGCCTCTGGTGGACGAAGAGCTCCCTCGACCTGTTGGTGTTCTTCACAACCCAAACTCACCCCCATGCTGGTCCGTACAGCTTGGTTGAAGTGGAGCGAGCAGTGGTGGTTCAGAACCAGAGATATCTATGCCTGATGAAAGCCTCCACCATCACCACCAGCCATGAGGCCTGATTATTCTATTCCTTCTCGCGTACGACCTGATGATGCTCACGGACGCTCTGCTCCTCTCTTTACGTTACACGTGACGCGACGCAACGGACCTCGCTCTGGTCGCATCCAACTTCCGCTCCCACCTGCCGGGTTGGATTCACTCACTTGGTGTGGAAACGTGACGGTGCCGCAGCTTCGCCACCGCTAAAGTGTGCGGGGGTGGGGGGGGGGGGGGGATTTCTCTGCTGCCGTGTGACATTTCTAGGCTGGAGCAGGCCGAGTCCCTGAGGAGACAAGCATTGAAGATCCGCCAGAAGGCTGCAGCCGAGAGGGGCAACGTGGTAACTGAGCCGCCCACCGCGATCCATTGAAGCCGTCCCGTACATTTACGGGGAAATGCCCTCCGGGGAGGGAAGAATATCGTTCTAAGAGAATATATCTTATGACAGAATTATACATTGGTGCAGATGGCTTGCTTTTTATTGTATTTTTGAAAGAGCATTTATTTTTTTACTTAATGCCGAATCCAAGATGCATGTCACTAATTAATGTTGCGCTCCTGGACAGTGCTGTGGGTATGTTCGTTCTCACAGACACGGAATTCATTTTAAAAGCACTTATTAAAATGGTAACACGAGGTAATGCTGTGACATTGGAACAAATTGGCTCCCCGATTTAGCAGATGTACAAGTGGGCAGAGCTGTATGTTTGAAAGCAGTCTTCAATTCCTTTCCCTTTGTTTCACCAGGTGAGATCCCATTCGGAGTCATTAGAAAGGGGCACGTAGATACCCGTGCATCAAATGTAACAGAGTAAACATTAGCGTGTATTGGCAACACCGCTTTGCATCTGCACATGGTGGCCTCACGCCGTGAATGACATAACTTGAGTCTTTAATATACACTTCATAGCAGATGGCACACTTTGTTAAACCCCCCATAGAACTGAACCAGTAATTAATTGAAAAATGCTTAAGTGATAAAAACGTCGGAACCACTGGACTAATCAGCCAAATCGTCCGAACCACTGGGCCAATCAGCCAGCAGGCTTAACGTCGTTTCTCTTGCCCTGCATGCTCTGCGCTGCCTTCCCCTCCACCCTCCAGAGGCAGTGATGTCATAGATTCATCAATTCTCATCGATTCTTATTGTCACGATACACTCATTGAATTGCAAATAATATTCTACCATTAATATTTAGGCAGACGGGACAAATCCAATTGTGCAAACGGGACATAAATATAAGGTTTGTGATCGCCGTGGCATACATATACAAAGGGAATATAATCTTTACTCCCAATTTCTACCTTGAATTGTGACAATTCGTTGTCTCCTTGTGGTTTCGTGGCGAGGAGGTGGGGGGAGGGGGTGAACGTTACGTGGCTTGTTCATTTGCAGTGCGTTTCCACGTCAAGCAACGGTGAACCACTTGAGCTGATAAGTCTTCTTCTTCCACGCGTTTGTCCCACTCACGTGGGGTCCGCTGTCCTTGCCAAACTTCTCCACGCTGCCCTGTCCTGCGCCATCTCCCTTTCCGCTCCTCGGGCCACCGTGGTCCCATCGCACCGCATCGCTCCCTCCACCTCGTCTTCTGCTGCCTTCCTCTTGATCTCTCTCATTCCACTTGCATCACTTGCACCTTCTGACCCACATAATGAGCTGGTAAGTCTCGTTTGTTTTTCAAACATCGGTCCGTGTTTAACTGGAGATTACAGGGGAGAGAGAGGCGAGACGGTGGTCAGCGCAGGCAGTTCGTCGTTGGAAGACAACAACACAGACAGGTGTTCGCTTTCCCGCGATGTCACCTCCAATGTTTGGTGTGCGCCAGTTAGGCCGGCGCCGTTGCTGCGGTCACGGGAGCGCTTTGTCAAATAATTAAATTCCAGCACAACGGAAGTGCTTGTGAAAGCGCACCGCGTAAAAAAATATATTGTTTTATATTCTGCTACATATTGCACGGTAATCAATGTATAGATACCGACGCTAAAATAATAGGGAGAATTCGACGAGAAAACAAAGCTTCAACACGTGTCCCATCAATCGTAATCCACTTCTTAAAGCCGTACCACTCTCCTCTGCAAGATCTGTAGCCATCGCTGACACAATTACTCGGGCACCTGTTGTGGTGAGCCCACAGAGGGTCATTATACATCCTGGGGCTCCTTTAAATGGATCACCAACTTTATATCTTTTTTTGTGTCTGATGTCAGAAATTGCCACGATTCAAAGCATTTTTCTGTTTTGTATTTTAGAGTTAAATCGAGCTACCACCCCCCTCTCCACTGCTGCCCATCCTTTCACCACAATGATAGCCGAACAAACATCACTTGTGTGCTTCAAGAGCCTTTGTTTTTTAGTTTATTGTTGTCTCTTGCATCGTGCTCCCCAATGCATATCTTATCTGTGCTGCTGTGTTCTCATCTCTCTCTGCTGCTGCCTGCATTATTAATCTCTTATACATCTTCTTGTTTTGCATCCCACCTGACGTCTGCCTTTTCTGAAAATTTAAATGTGAATTTTTTGTTTGTCACTTTCGTCAACCCTCATTCAACGTGAACTCTGTCTTCCCGCCTCCCACCTCCGCTTCACTTTTCCTGGCGCTAACTCCTTCTCCTTGAACCCCGAGCGGTCGCGCGTTTTGCCGCGTGTCGCAGAAAGTCCGTGGTTTGAGCTCGGAGGTTTGACTCGGCGGCCGCCCTGTGTTAATACCCGCGCGTGTATTGACCGATTAGGATGTTAAAGATTCCGTGACATAATTGGAAAAAAAGTGGATTCTGCGTTCTGGCATCACGGTGCAAAAAATTTAATTACCTGCAAATTAGTGAATTGGATTACGTTCATCCATGAAACATCGCACTTTCATAGTAATGAGTTAAATGATGACGTTACCCTGCTGCTCTATTTAAGACCGAGAGCAAGTGAGGGCTTTACCATTCTGGCGAATTGCCCGATGATGCTGGATGTATTTACCAGCGAAACGTCGTACTCAAACTGTAAATGTTGTGGATTCACTCTTCAACACACCGGTGGGCTAAAGTAGTGAACCATTTGTCTTTTGTCAACGTGACACTTTATTTTGCTGATTGGCCGTGTCGGGTGGTGGAGGGTTACGACACATTTATAAATAACGCGATCTAACCCAAAAACCTTTATTATGAATAATATTGGTCGAGAAAGCCTACGTGTTAAACTTCCATAGTAGCGTTCGCGCTAATGGAATGGCGCGATCATCAAATCAACCTCATTATTATAATTAATACCTGTGCTCTGTAACCTTCTCTCGCCGGCTTCTCCTCCCTCCCCGCCCCCTCCCCGCCGCCCCCCCGGCCCCCCCCGCCCCCCCCCCCCCACCACCGTCACTGCAGTCGGGCTTCGAGCTGCTGCGACGCCGCCTGCTGCAGCTGGAGGAGGCCCCCCCCGGCGGGGAGTCAGCGGACGCAGCGCGTTCGCTCAACGAGCTGGGGGTGCTCTACTACCTGCAGGGCAACCCCGAGTGAGCCGCCCCGCCCGCCGCCGTAGCAGCCGGCACCATCGGCACCAGCACGCTCGCATCGCCAGCAACACCTGCTGACACGGGGCGGGGGGGGGGGGGGGTCATGCTGCCGTGGTGCAATGGTTAGGTCGCTGGACTAGCAAATGTTGAGGTCGCCAGTTCTATTTTGTTGACCTTCCCCGCACCTCCGATTAGCTACGTACGGCGCGAAGAAAGTTCAACATGCATACTTGCATGCATTTCCCGGCATGGCAGTTGTCAAACAATGCTCAATTTTCTAAGCGCCCCTATCCACCAAGCAGTATTGCATTACTTATTCAATCAGCAGGTCGCAAGCGGTGGGGTAAAGTAAGGATGCGTCTTACAAGACGTCTGACCAGCGTGGAAGAGTAGTCCAAATGCCATCTCTAGCGGAGGCCCTTTTGCAAGTAGGGGTTGTGAGCATGCAACTGCAGCGCTGCACCATTCACTTTTTATTTGGTATGCAGTCCCTTCCCTTACCGAGTGATGATCTCAAATGGGCCGCAAAATGTACCACATCGGAGGCGTGGTGTAAATAATAAATGGTGATGATAATAATGACCAGTATAATAATGACCAGTGTCATTTCTACATAGGTAGTACACTTTATTTATCCAGGAAATCCTTGTTGAGTACCAAGACTCTCTTTCAGGAGAATCCGGCAATTAAAAGTTTGGCCGATTCCAAAAATTATTTCACAAACGAGGATTGACAAAGGAGTAAGACAGAATATTTGTTTACTATGAAAATAAATTATTGGCCACAAGTCCGTGGGGAGGCCATATCGCCGGAACTGACGACGGCTGGTGGTTGGCAATCACGAAGGAGTGACAGTTAAAGGAGGGAACTCACCATTGGAGAGCATCCGCCAACAGAGATGAAGCTCGATGGATTGTCGCTTCAGGAGACCTTGAGGGATGCCAAGAACTCGGGGAAGCCTTCATCCAGCAATGGATAGATCATGATCATGATGATGATAATGAAAATGCTGGTTGCTGGCTGGGTCGTACACATCCGGGAGAATGGATGGCAGGGTATGGTAGGTGGCATGGGTGTGCGGTAGTGCAGGCCGGACAGAGCCTTTGGGTGTACGAGCATTGGCTCATTGTGCTGTGATAAAATGAAGTAGGTTCTCCATTCTCCAATTTGTCAAAGTAAGGTAATGGAAAGAATTTGGAATTCCTGCCTTGGAAGTGTTTCAGCTCCACTGTATACAAAGCATATTTCACATTCCGTCTACTGCCAGTTTGGCTTTGGGGAAATATCAAAGTACCTTCTCTGCTACACTGGAATGTAAAGGCTTTGCAGTGTAATTTTAGAGAGGAAGTCATGGTGTGATATTTTGTGAGCAAAAATTCTAAGATGACTTATTGTGATTTCCTTCTTTTGAAATATCTGACGTAGGTGCCTATTTTGTTTGCTTGCTGGGGCGTAAAGTCCTTGTGCTGAGACTAGGAGACCAATCCACGGCTAATCAATAATTGGCATGCAGTTAATGAATCGATGCATGACATTGTATATTGTCTGTGAATGCAACTTAATTGTGGACAACACAGAAAATAAGATGTGTACCCTATAAGTGGATGGAATTCAGATTTCAAACAAAAGAAAAGTTCAATTTCCCGTGGCCGCCTCTTCCTTGCTTTTGCAAAAAAAAATTAATAAACCGCAGCTGAGCAGTTGAGGTGGCTGGATGCCATAAATGAGCTTCACGCAGCCAAGGGAACATGAAGGGAACACGTGGTATGATATTTTCCAATATCCCTGGAGAAATACCATCACGGGGGGAGGTGGAGGCAGACATCTGGCCGAAATTGAGAGCCCACCCACTTGACAGCCCACACAGGAATGCGCTCTGCTGATTGCGACGAGGCTCCCGTGGTATGGATAGATGACGTGATGTAAAGCGGAGGAGGAAGAGAGGGCCCGACATCGAACATTGGAATTAACCACGCCCCTTTAGATGAGCGAGTCAAATTGTCCCGAAGCCTGCGGAGGAATGGCAACAGTTTTGGCGATGGACTTGCAAGGTGTATGGGGGGGGGGGGGTAGCTGGGTTTTTCTGGGTTGGGCCAAGTGACAAATTGCAAAACTAATGCGGCTGGTATTTCAAGAGCCTAGCCCGGGAAATGAAGTGCGCTTCACCTGAGGTTTTCTTTCCGTGCATGCGTACGCGCGCGCGTCTGTGTGTGTGTGTGCGTGCGTAGAATAGCAGAGTTGTTTTTCCAGCGCTCGCTCACCATGCGGGAGAAGGTGCTCGGCCCTGACCACCCGGACTGCGCGCAGTCCCTCAACAATCTGGCGTCGCTGTGCGGGGAACGCGGCGAGAGCGAGAGGGCCCAGTGCCTCTACGAGCGAGCGCTGCACAGCCGCCAGCGCGCCCTCTCCCGCAACCACCCGGCGCTCGCCTACACCGTCAAGCAGCTCGCTCTGCTCTACAAGAAGGGGGTACGGATGCAGAGACAGCTGCCTCTGGATTCGCCGAGCGGGGGGGGGGGGCGGGGGGGGAGGTAGGCGAGCGCGTGAATTACGCACGCAGCAGATGGGTGGCGAGCCCTCGCGATTCCGTTCAAGAATGTGTATTTTTTTTAAAGAAATATTGTGGCGAATGAAAACGCCTCTAGTGGCTGCAGAGGTCACGCGAATCAACGGCATATGAACTCTGTAAAGATATATGTGCAAGCTGAGGATGATGGAAAATTAATGTACAATATAATGAAGGGACGGACGGGAAGTAAGTTCGTTGTGTTCGAAATTATATATCGTCATACAACATTTACACACACGTTATTTGATACACGTATATGTTTTAAACGATGAGTCAATGCATCATTATATGCAAATGTCCAACCGACTATGCGTAAATTTACATATCTACCATGTGCTTCAGATATAGAGCTCTTCCTGAGGAAATCAAGTTGGGATTTGCCATTATACCCAATTGCTGTTAGTCCTGAGAAGGGCAGATGGAGCTAGCTGCTATTCTAACGGCCTCTGTGCCACTGTGAGTGTCGCCCAGGGCAAACTAGAGAAGGCTCTACCCCTTTACCAGCTGACGGTGGAGATCAGAGAAAAGGCTTCTGGGCCAAACCATCCCAGTGTGGCCACAGCACTGGTCAACTTGGCTGTTGTATATTCCCAACTGGTGAGTAGTGTGTGGTTGACATCAATTGTATATGTGTAGTGCACGTGTGTGTGGTTTTGAGGAGTTGTGTCATGGATTTAGCACTGTGCTGCATAGTTGCAGTGAGATTGGTAGTCTGAACCTAGTCTGGGTCTCTGCCATATAAATAGAACAAAACTGTTATCATACAATAGGCGAAATAAAATAGAATTGACAGTGTGATTCAACATATAAAGAAACATGTAAGAGGTCTGTAATCTACATCGGTGCGCAGTAAATACAATATTACCCTCGTTGCGATATGCCATACTTTTAACAGATTTTTCTGCTCGATGGTAGACATTTTACGTAATCAAATATGGTGGCACCCTTGCAGTGTAACAGCGAGCTGTTACTCTGCTTGTTGTCCCCTGAGGGTTTAAATCAAGTTTAAATGTAACAAATAATAAAGCGGGGCGATGACGCGTCTGAAACGTCGTGTCTCCAGAAGCGTCACGATGAGGCCCTGCCCCTGTACGAGCGCGCGCTCCGCACGTACGAGGACAGCCTGGGGCCCCTGCACCCCCGCGTGGCCGAGACTCTGCGGAACCTCGCCGTGCTGAGGTTCGCATGCTCTGCCCCTGCATGATCAGTTTCATTGCTGTAATTATTCATATGATTATAGAGTAAAGCAACGGTGACAATTGCCTGTTTGGGATGAACCATGGAACGATTTACTTCCCCAGTGGTTTCGCGATTTGTCGCATTCCGGGATGGCGATTTGATTCAATCAACTTTTTTTGTGCCTCTCATATTTACCAACTTATTTGGAACATTCCGTGTTTTTATTTTCTGCATTTGTAGTCATTTCGTTAACCTTCATAGAATGTTCACAGGTCACTTCAATTACTTATTTCATGCATGATTCGTCGCGCGTATCCTCAGCGCAAGAATCGATGTTAATCAATGAACTGACGCATAGTTACATTGAAAATTATTACGTAACCCCCCCCCCCCGACTACAGCAAATTCTTCTGGCGGCAGTTGCACAGGCCTCACTCCCTCAACACGCTCCTCGGGGCAATGCTCATTCATCTGTATTGACCAGTCGGTCCTTGTGTGCGTCTAATGATATATGAAGCCTTCAGAGCGGGGATAAACAGGGCTGGGGATAAGTTATCTCTTACCCAGTGGACTTGTAGGATTCCCTGGTGATCTTCAACAACGAGCAAAAGCATTAACCCCAGTGCCCCGGCTATAACGGTTATACATGTAAATAAATGCCTGGAGTAAATCCCCCTCGGATGACCTAATTTAAATCTTACTCTCCTCTTGGGATGAACATGCCTGAAAATGAGATGTACGCACCTCAGTGGATGTTTCGAAATGTTTAAAATGCAAGTACCGACTCACCTCTCGGCTTGTGCCGCGTTGATGTTCGTTCGGACACCGTGCCAAGCAACAAGCGGCACAACCGCGAAACACGTCGTCGGTGAGCTGCACGGCACAACCGCTCAAAGCTACGCGATTGCATCACTCACTTTTCCGCTTCACAGATTGCTTTGCTGCTTCCCTTTTACTGGTTACTCGTGACAAACACATCCCCTTTTGTCCCTGTACTTCTGCGTGAAGGCCTCGCCATGCCATGTCAGCCATATGGTTTGTTTGACCATACTTCACCTACGTTGTTCGGTGAAGGGAAAGGTGCCCAACAATGGTTCGGTCAACACTCACTACTGATGTTAGCCACAGTAGCCAGGAATCAAGTCTCGGATCACCAGGCTTGTGTAGTGCGCTGACCACCGTAGCACTGCTGCAGCCCTTACTAAAGTAGTGACTGGCTAATATTTTACTTGGTTACTTAGTTAATGGCCTGCTCGTTGGCTTGTTTACTCGTTAGCGCATTTGGTTGTCTTTTACTTGACCACATCCATGCACACTCGCCTGTTCTCCTACTAGCTCACACGCGTGCGTACCCACGTCATTGCCGCAGATGAGGTGTTTCGGTTTCTATAATCTCTTGTTCAATTACATTCTACTCTTGTTCAATCGTAGCCACGAGCAGATGAGAGAGACTATGCAAAGCCTCTACGCGCTCAGTAGACACACAGCACGCCACACCTCCAGCTGCCTCCAAGCTTCGCACTCTGCAGTAAATGCAGTCTTGACGCAAAACCCCGTATAACATTTAATTTCCGTATTTTGTTTTTTTTTCTCACGAAATAATTAGTATTTTACAGGCAAAAATGAATTTGAATAACATGCACTCGCGCATCGGCGCATACTCTTCTAGAGTTCTAATCAGTGTGAATGTTCGTTATGCTTTTCACATTTTTATGAAATTTAATTAGGCCTATCTTTGTACAATTATAGAAAAAATAATTACCAGCCAGCGTCTGCATAGCAATGTTGTTCCCCTGTACTAATATTTATATGTAATAACTTCGTTGGTAGTTATTGAAAATTGGCAGCTCTTTGTAAAAGTGACTGCGGTAAAAAAAATAATGTTACGTAAAGGACATCAAAAAGTTGTTTTTGTTAGATTAATACGTAGCGATTGGTCAGTAGCAAGATACTATAAAACCATGGTGCTTAGAACCTGAACTAGGAATATTTATGGCTAACGGGTATTGTAATGGCGTAATCCTTTTCTGAAATGTGAAAAATTACAGCCTCCTAATTTACCCTCCGCAGGTTTCTACAGCACTGCGGGAAAAGGCAGCGCTGCGGACATTTTTCGTAATTTAATGTCGTTCACCTAGAGCTCGGAGTGTGTAATTCACCGAATGCACGGCTGCAAATCCCGGTGACACTTAAACCCGGCGACGCTTGGCGAGGCGGTTGCGTTGTTGGCGTTCGGCTCCATTGGCCGTTTTTGCAAGACGTGCTTCTGATTGCCGTTTGGCTCTGCACTCTGATAGACTTCGCCTCGCTTGTAGTGTGACCTGGCCTCACTCGGCCATCAGAATCCTCCGCCCTGCGGCAGGGACTCGCCTCTCACTTATGTCCCCCGTACATAATGAATGAGTTGTAAATGCCAGCGATAGTGACGTAGGCAACCCCCCGAGCGCCGCGTGAACTTATATAATTTACTTTAATTTCCGCGCGTTGTCCGGGCCCAGGTACGAACAGGGAGACGTTGCTGGGGCGGCCGAGCTGTACAAGCGCGCCACGGAGATCCGGGGAGGGGAGCCGTTGCCGGCGGCGGCGGCGGCGGTCACTGGCGGGGGTCACAGGGCGCAGTCGCTGCACTCTTCCGGAAGCGAGCTGCTTGGCCTGGCGCTACACTCGCCGCTGGGGCTAGGCTAGCGGAGGTCGGGCGGCCCGTCTCTAAGGTCGGAGGTCGAGTGGCCGGCCCCCGCCGACGGCGGTAGTTGCAGCGCGGAAGCCGAAGGTGCGGTCACGCTCAGGTACTCGCCGCCATAGGTTCGTCCAAGTTTCCCCGAATGTGTGTGCGGTGGGCAGAGAGAAGCCAAACGCCAGCACTGCCGTTTGTTTGCTTTCTTTTCAATGGCAGCACCAGGGTAGTAAAGAAAATGTGTAATCGACTACTTTGCGTGTACCTGTTCTGGATTAACCAATTGCTACTGACACCATAAGGACTTCAAAAGAAAATAAGGGATTGTTGGTTGCGGGATGAAGCTTCACCATTCCACTTTATGCGTGAAGCATAACAAAAGCCTCATTACACCTTGCCATAAACGCCGTATTTATTCGTCACCATCCGAACGCGAAAAAATATCGAGTGACCGCCATGGCAGTCAATCCCTGGAGATGTTGTTACATTTTCGTTCCTGGCAGCACCAAACTCTTCCTTAGCGATGTCGGTGGTGAACAAGCGAGTCGCGAATTGCGTTTGGTGGCACTGTACGATCACAAACAAGGCTTGGGATGAGGGTGGTGCTGAGAGATGCTGGAAGAGAGACGATGCGGTCGTAGCCCGCGTGCTTTGGCCTGCGTCGGTTTTTGCGACGCCCAAAAACTTGACGGGAGATGGAATGATTCAACGACCGATGAAGTGCACAGTGCCTGCTCCTTTAACCTGCAAAGGACTGCGACGTAAATGAACACCTCAATCAGAAAAATCTGAGCGCTCATAGATTTCGTCGTGGTTGCTGTGCAGGTGATTACTGACCCTTCCCTTTTCTTTCCATTGCACAAATGAAAGGTAAAGAAAACGTTGAGGAAGTAAACACAGGATTTTTGGAACAAGTTGAAGCGGTTCACTTAAAAATAAAAAGTAGTGTTCGAAAGCCGTATACCAAAATCACACGTTTCAACTTTTGCAGTGAAGGCTGACGAACAGCCGTCGGCCGACATTGAAATTCAGGACAAACGCTGTTCTTGTAGAGAGAGAGAAAAAAAATCCCGAGTTAACAGCTGCCACAAGGTTCGTTTGTTAAGCCCGGTGTGACAATACGCGGCAGTGGCACAAGCTGCTCGTCCATGCCAACTCACTCAGTCGTGCGTGCGGTGCATCCTGCAGCCGAGCAGATAATTCCCTTTTTTGTGCCGTGTGACGTCGAGGCCGTTGGGGACGTGGCTTTGTCCGGCGACAATGCGAGCACGCGCGGGGGTTGCCGAGGTGTGGGCGCAGGGGACTGGGGAAGCGCGGGGGGATGTGGTCCGGTTAAAGTGCAGGGGGGGGGGGGACGCAGGGGGATCCGTTGTGTGGGACGTTGAAGGCAATCGAAATTAGCGGCCTTGCGTCAAAAATAACCGAGCTGTAACTAAAATAAAATGTTAACGTCAATTGGGTAAAGGTGCAGCCCTCAAACTGCTTGTTCCTGCCACTGCTCGTGGAAGGCCCTCCACTAGAGGGCGCTTTACTGAGCCACTCTTGTCTATTCTTTCACGCTGACCAGACACAAAAAAACTGCCGATTAACTAACTGTAAAATACGTTTAAAAACAGATCCTGTTATTTGTACGTAATTACAATATATGATTCCTGCGGATGAGAATGTTTGAACCTGAAGAATGGTTATCTGCTGCTTCATGAAGATGGAACGCTGTGTAACGCGAAGGAAAATTGGTCTGTAAAATGCGTCGTAATAATGCTGCATAATACATTTGGCAAATTTTGGCATTGCCACATTCATGCTTGCATCATCAAACAGGGACAAAGAAGGCTGAATTGTTGTGCTGGCAAAGCTTTGTCATCATCAGCCATAGTCAATCCACTGTGGGATGAAGGCCTCTCCAAGCTATCGCCACCTCTCGTGATCCTGCAACGTAACGATCCACCCGGCGCCGGCACGAGAACCGATTTCACCACTCCATCTCGCGTGCGGACGTCCTCTTGGGCGCGTTCCCCCCCTCGGCTGCCGTTCCCCAGTATGTTTAATTTGAAGCTGCCGTGAGTTTACCCTTCGTCGCCCCAAGTTGACAAACTGTGGACCAGCTGGGAATCCAGCGCACAGAGAGAGGGCCTGCCGTTGTTGCGAGGGATAAATAATGCGACGGCAAAAAGCAAGTCTGCTGCGAGTGGAGATTAAAGAACATGCAGCATCATCGCTGACAATAACAGGCGATTGTTTGCCAGTGTAATGGGCCAAATCGCATCCTCCCCCCAAAAAATATGAGGGCTTCCCCTCGCCTGCATGGTGAGCAAAGGCCCAGCAGTGTATTGATAAAACAGGCTGTAGTTTTCCTCCTTGGAGTATGAATAATATTTGTATCTGTAAAAAGTATCCAGGTCTTCTTCTCGACAGTGGCATTGTTTATCAGAGTCTGTGATGCCAGTACACGTTAATTAATTAACTGACATCTCAACTCATCCATAAATCGTAATCCGAACGTACACCATATTGTTCAGCTGCTGTCTGTTGTGCGTTCTATTTCCACATTCTGTAGGTGAATAAATACAATTTGCCCATTGCCTTTCTGGACCAATATCCAGCAGCATTTGTTTAACAAGCAAACTCCGTGTGTAGTTTCGACCTTCTGGTTCTCATCAGCAGAATCAGGCTGGTTAAAGACCTATGGCTGGCTCACCAGATGGTAATTGGCAGAGTTCTCCCATCGAATGATATTGGGCTCTGTTCAATGCAAAAATCAAAACTGTATGCAAACACATGTGTTATCATGGAGCGTTATGGGTAATAACGTATCTGATTCCGTCTTTCTAAGAAGTAGGTTGGCTTCTGTGATGTTGGGTGGTGCGGGGATTTCTGTGGGTTTTTATCGGCGTCGTTTCCTGACGTCTATCTCAATTTCATTTCGAACTGCGGCAGCGTCCACTTTGTTTCCCCAAGGTGGGATTTCACTTTGAAGACAACAGGAGGAGGTGGTCAATTCTCTCTTGACTAAACATATAAAAGCTTAGTGTGCATAAAGGTTAAAATAAGTCTACCTACCACGTAAAATAACTCGTAAATATTAAAAGCGAACGCTTTTAATATTTAATATATCGCTGACGCTCGGCACAAGCGGCGATGGAGGACATCAAGTCCTGTGCAGTTCCGAGCCTTCATCTCGATAAGAGCGTGGATCTCCACGCATGCGATTGAACGGCACGGTCACCCTGCGTGCGTGTGCTCAAGGTGTGTCGCTTTCCTTTGTCTCTTAACCTGCAAGCAGCATGGCCGCTTGCACAACAGCATGCCAACCTTCACTGCGATCCCCCTGCTCTCATCGTATTGTTGACTTCCAGTCAGAAGAACTGGGGAGTGTTGTACTTTTGTTTTTGTATATGCAAATTGCGGCGATTGTGATGTACTTACTGCATTCTCAGCAGGACAGGTTCAATTCCTGGATCGGCACATTAAATGCATATAATTGCGTAAGAATCAATTGTTTACAATTTATGCAAATTATATACGATTGTAAAGTTTATGCTAAAAAAGCAAATAAAAAAACATAGAAAATAGACTCCAGAAAAGCGAGACGCCATATAAAATAAGATGGTAAAAGGGGGAAAATAATCATTTTTACAATTTTTGTATCCCAAATCGAGCCCATGATAATTCTTAAAATTGCTGGGGCAGACAATTGTGATGCATCTTCTCTATCGTGTGGTTGCTATATTCACTGGAAAGACAAAGGCAGCCCTACTTCCCTCTACTGTGCCGTGCCAACCTTAATAAGTGTTTTCCTACAGTGCGTCCTGCGACAACCCACAGGGTGAAATGGAGGCCCCTTGTCCTATCTCTCTCCACGTATGACGTTGGCGTAGAGTGGTGCTGAAATGGACAGCGCTTTTTGCGCGATGAACCCAGCGAACCTGAGTTCGATTCTCGGCCATGGCTACCATCAAGTGGCGAGTGATATGTGAACCGGTCCTGGGCCCCCACCTCTCCCATCACCAATCCACACTGGCCATTGTAGTCGAGTCGAGTGTAGTCAAACAGCCCTCGTGACAGACACGGAATGTTGAGTTCCTCCAGCAATGGATTGATCAAGGGGCTTAGAACTATTCGATTATTTTACATGACGCTATCTGGTCAGTCGTGGCCATGCGGTGTCGTTTGCAATGCGTGGTCACGCAGCGTATTAAGCCGAATGTGGCAAGTTTTGCTTGAGAAGAGAACCCTGTACCCTGTGCAGTTTTTGTCATGTTCAGCGGCAGGCCTCTACTCAGAACCCACACACAATGTGGCCACCTGAAGTACAAACACGGATTCTTGCTTAAACAAGAATCGACAATCACATCACTCTTTTTTTAATTAAATGTGTACCGGACGCACGTTGCGCGTGGTTATCTGCATAAATATCGGAGAGTCACATTGCAGTGTGGCTCTTTTATCCAATACAGCACTTAGTCACTGCGGAATAACACCGTTTGTGAAACGCCATCCTACCGCGTCTGCAACAGCAACAAGAACGACGGCAGTGACGACTTCAAATCATAATTAAAACTCTTCCCCCCCCCCGTCACTTGGAACTCCTAACGATGAGGGTAAATGTGACAAGCGACTCTGTCGGACGGGGATGCTGCAAATGAAGAGTTTGACGTATGAGGACCGGTTATTATTTTTTGCCGGCTGCACGATGCACAATCGCCAGCAATTACCTCTAATTGAATTTTTACGCAAATGATGTCGGGACTTTGGTTGAAAGAATGCGTCTCGGAAAGGCTGCCCTATGCATTCCTCCAATGATATGTTGGTACAGTAATTATATTTTAAATATGCAGTGCAATCTCAAATATCCGATGATCCCATATCCGACCTGACCAATTCGACTGCCAACACCCCAGTGCAGCGTTAACTGTCACTTTCTATTGATGTTCACAAAGCTGACCTTTTCACATGCAGTAATGTGTTTTTTTAATCTCGAGTACATTTGTGTATAAATTGCAGTCAAGCATTTTCCCGTCGCGTTAGGTTTGCACTTCATTTTTTCTCTCTCCTTGTAATCTGTGCTTGGTGTAACAAAATAATTTTTTCTATAGATGTTCACATATTCGCCGATACCCCAGTCCCCAGCGAATGAATGCGTGACTTTAGACTCGTATAAGAAATAAGCACATCCAAATAACTATGCAATGGAAAGACGATTAACATTGGTGTTTTTTTTTTTTTGCAACTGCTGCTCGTGTGAACATCTCTCTGGGAATTACGGAATAAGGGCCATTTTCATCTTCAACACTTTTATTTCTGTGCATTCATTTTTTTGAGTTTTCCTATTACCATTCATAATCGTCCTCATTGCGATCGTCCGCGGTGTGACAACTTGACATAATTGGTAATGTCTCATTCCGTGCACTTTGAAGTGGAAACTTCATCTCCATTAGCATAGTTCTAACTGGCCTGGAATGAGGCCGTATAAAAAAAAAATACTCCGTTGGCTTCTGTATTTGTGGTTGTGTTTATTATTATTACTCTTATAATTCTCCATATGTTCGGATGGACTATCTAAAGCATTTGTTATGGTTTTGCCGCATATCTGTATATCAAGCGCGTTTGTATGATATTTCTGTAATATACAGTACATCAAAGGCTGTCAAAAAAAACCAAGAATAATGTGTATGCAAAACTGTTTGCCAGCTGCTCATTTATATGTACGGGACATTACTTAGCAACACAGAGGCGGGTTGGACAACTCCGTTGCATTTCACCTCCACCGCCGACACATTTATTCGCGAAATGTATGCGGCAAACTCAGCCCGTCGCCCGATGTTGGAATTGGCCAGGCGTGGAAAGGAGGCCGGGCACACTGCGTTTCGCACGCCCTGCAACACAGCCCATTAGCGTTACCATGGCCTCGGAGCGCGCAGTGGTCGACACATGGGCCGCGGGGGGAAGGCGATTTGATAAAAGCGGCGGTCGTAAGCCATCATGATGAGGCTGCTCGTCGTCTGGCCCGGCTGTCCCTAAGCCAGCTTTTTAAGCTGTTTAAGCAGGCGGCCCAGACTTTCATCTTGATTACTGACGTGTGGGTGACTTCGCGACAGAGCAGATGTGTCAATTTCGAAAAATTAAAAGAGTTGTATTACCGGATTTTGCTCAAGAGCGTACCAGGAATGATTAAAGTCGTCATTCTTGCCGATGGAGCTTAAGTAGACCTGTGTTGGCCTCAAGTGCCCTTTCGCCACATTGGATGCAATGCCGAACATCAGCCGTTCTCAACCTCTAGAGTCTAGTCCTTATTTCCCCAAGTTCTCCCCAGATGTGTGAAATGTACTGCATGTTAGGCGGAACGCTTTACATGTAAATGCAAGATAATGGGCAATGGTGAAAATGTGGCCTTGAGGGAGGAAAATAATGGATGTGGAAACCGGAGGCTTGCAAACCGTTGCACTGCAGACAGGGTTTGCCAGAAATTATGGACATGGGGGGTTATCATTTAGTGTGGAATTTCTAGCTATGAGTGACTCATTCTGCCACCTCCCCACCCATTGCTCTCTCTTGAAGCTCCTAGCAACCCTACCCGCCCACCCCACCAGCCGACCCAGCCTCTCACCAGCACCCTCACACCCCATCTCACCTCTCCTCCGGGATTAATCTTCGCCTATTCCTAATGCCCTTTCTAGCCTTCGTCCCCCCCACCACCACCCAGCCCGCACTTCTCATCGCACTGCCTGGAGCTTCCAGACAGAACCCAGTCGAACCCAGGATGGGAAGGGGCAATGGTTAACACCGTAATAGAGATATGTCCATTTGGCATCGGCACTCGCTGCTGTGGAATATGGGGTGCGGCTGAGAAAAGCAGCTGTAGAAGAAACGTATGGCCTTTGAACACAAGTGCATGCAAACGATGCTCTCAATTTGTGGCAGGATAATAAGCGAGTTGGAAGCGCGTCGTAATAAAGTGTTGTTGGTTTTGTTGGTGGCACCCAGGGAGAAGGGATTCAGGGGAAGGCCTCAAGCCATAACAGTGGGAAACTGCAACAGAGGTACTTGAAGGTGAGGTTGTGGACTTTACAACATCTAGGAGAGGGAAGCGACGGAAAGTTAGCATCGCTTGCATTCGTCGTGACCTCTTGAGCTTGAGCTATGCACACGCATATATGCATGGAAACGACACGAATCATCCACACGTGTTTGCGCACTCACATGTGCTGTGGAGTTGATGCATTGCCAACAGACAGGGCACTCATACTCATCGGGGTTTTTAGGATTCTTCTCACTTTTAGTGATTGTGAGGCAGTAGAGCAATGGATTTAATCCATCTGTGGGGAGCATTGAGTGGTATCCCCTCATATGCAATTCGTTTTTTTTTCCACATACCGAGCACTCAATGATGGATTTGACCAAACAAGACAGGATTGTCCTGCAAAACTCTTAAGAATCGGAGAGGCTTACCTGGACCGAGGACTTAACTCAAAGCAATGCTCGGAAATCCACGCTTAAAGGCCTACACTGAAATTGGTCAATCATTCCAATGCCGATTATATATATGGCTCGCAAATTATTATATGGGATTACACGGAACAACATCGCCCCCTACCGCGAACATTTTGCATGACTCTTTAGACTCGGTGAGGCTCTTGATTATAAGTATACACAGCTTTAGTTATACACTGCCGGATTATCCTAGTAGCAAAAGTAGCTACATATGTAGTAGCTACGGGCCCCGCACTTTCAAGGGCCCCGCGCGAAATGCTTTCAAGCTGTCAATTCCGGTTCAGTGATTCTGCACTGGTTATATTACTATAGTACTATACTGCCTTCAACTTTTATTAACTACTGGGTGTTTAAGGCTGTATAGCAAATGAAAAAAAATACAATTACTTCACTATGCAAGTAAAAAATAGATGTTTAATATTTGCGTTTTATTTATTTAGGGCCCCTACAGGCCCCGCACTAGCTTAATCCGACACTTGTTATACACGTGACTGTTTGGAGCGGTGGTGCAGTGGTTAGCGCCCTGCGCTATCAACCCAACCACCTGAGTTTGAGTCCAGGCCACGGCTAACACCAGCGGAGATCAATATCTGAACCGGTTCTGCCAACCACTCCCCTGTCACCCACTCGCACTAAAAATCGTGGTGAAGTATGGTCAGACAACCACCGTGAGTGAAACGTGGTGGGGGGGGGACTTCATCCAGGAGTGGATGACAAGAAGGGCTGTAAATCAGTGTTAATAACATCGCATAGCACCCTACAGGATGCACAATGTATGCTCAAGAGTACAGTCTATACAATGAGATGTGATGCAGTATACATGGTGATCCATGTATGGATGCCTCACCGAGATAGCTACGAGTGAATATTACACAATGATTAGACGTTGTAACCAAATAAGAGTGGCTATGTGGCCCAAACTGTATCAGGAGGGTGTCTAGATGTATCAAGTGTCTTGAGATTGGTAGAAATACTTGTCGAGAGGTCGTGAACTACCGTAATGTTTGTTTTTATTTTAGAGTTCCTCTCAATTTTAGTGAGGCGCCTATAAATGGATCGCCCTGTATATATCATTAATAATACATCCCAGTGTTGCGTGTCAATCTCACTGCCCACACCTATACACACCGCCACCACCAAACACCACATCCCTTCTCATCATCATCCCTAGGCAATGCTAGGCTGCTCTCTCCGCCTGAGATTTCGACGAAACCAGCTGGCTCCGTAGGCAACTGAGAACCCCCCCAACACCAACCCATCATCACCCCCCCCCAACACCAACCCATCATCACCCCCCTCCCCAACACCAACCCATCATCACCCCCCCTCCCCAACATCAACCCATCACCACCCCCTCCCCAACATCAACCCATCATCACCCCCCCAACATCAACCCATCATCACCCCCCCCCCACCATTAACCCATCACCCCCCCCCCAACATCAACCCATCCTCACCCCCCCCCCAACATCAACCCATCACCCCCCCCCCAACACCAACCCATCCTCACCCCCCCCCAACATCAACCCATCACCCCCCCCCCCAACATCAACCCATCATCACCCCCCCCAACACCAACCCATCATCACCCCCCCCAACATCAACCCATCATCACCCCCCCCCCAACACCAACCCATCCTCACCCCCCCCCAACATCAACCCATCACCCCCCCCCCCAACATCAACCCATCATCACCCCCCCCCAACATCAACCCATCACCCCCCCCCCACCACCCCCACCCCATCGTCCCCGGCTCCTCCAGCTCGCCAGCGGCTGCCCGGCGCCCGCCACCCGGGGAACGAGAAGTCGATCCGACTCCGAAGCGGCGGCGGCGGTGGCGGCGGCGCGGCGTCTGGCTCCGGGAACTGTGGGTGCCGGACATTTCTTTATGATTGTTTTCTTTGCGGAGAAATGCTGCAGACCGGCTTGCCTTCGCCGCCAGGTACGTGTGTGGATGTTGGTGTGGCGCTTGATACGGTGTGCTGCTCATGGTGATGATGCGCAGGCTGCCGCTGCTGCTGTTAATGGGCGATAGCGGCTATGCTATCCTTTTGCCGGACCGTGCGTGTGTAATCTGTGTGTGTTAAATGCTATCATGTGTGCGCTCTCTGTTAGACAATAGACAAAGTGCAACGTGGTGGTCTTATTGCGCGCGTCTGTATCGGTCTGTTGCCATGTATAAATTCACTGCTGGATGAGGCTGTCCTTCCCCCGCACGCCACGGGGTGCTGCTGTATTTGACCATACTTCACCACGCGATGTGAGTGCGGGATGGTAAAAGCAACGTGAATAGGATTCACGGCAACCTTAGGGTAAATAGATGTAGTTTCGGCATTTACATTGCTTCCATGCTGCAACGCCGACCGCATGTATGCTGTGTGTCATTGAAATTATTTTTAAATGACCACTGTCGTAATATTAGTGACATACGTACCGAATAGCGAACACATCCAAAATATTTGAGATCATGGTATACAATTCACGGGGCTGTGGCATATGTTATGCAACATGATGTCAGCTACTTGCCTGCTATGGCCCATGCTATGGAACATGATGTTAGAGACACACGCTACGGCGTATACCCATTGCTATGGAACGCGATAAACAATCATGCTATGGCGTATTCTATTGCTATGTGACCTGTGAAACAATCGTTGTCGTGGCATATTCCATTGCTACGGAATAATGATGACAAAAACACGCATGCTGTATTGCTACGAAACACCGTGTCAGATGCATACGCGCTATGGCGGTGTGCTGATGTGTGTCCTGTGTGTGGTTGTACCACCGTCGTCCGTTACGCGGAGCTCGTGGTGTAGCATGGCACCCAGAGAGAGATGAGCTCATTGGCATTCTCTTAACCAGCACTGCGCCTCTGATCAATTCCCATTTGTAAATTGCTCTTGATTTAGAAGAAGAATAAAAAGCCTTAAGGCCAGCGTACGTATACAACTGGCGTGTTCTTTTCAATCGTGAGCGTTGTTTTAATGTTCATTTGGCGATGCGTAATTATTATTTTTTGAAGAGCGATCATTCATTTGCATTGCGTAATGACAGCCACCGTTATGATGATGACGATGGCGACGATGTGAGATTGTCATCTGCACTGTGTGTCGTTTAAATAACGCACCGCATGCACATCCAGAGTACACGCGTGGTAGGCTGTATTGTGTGTGTGACATCTCGTA